ATACTGTTTTCATCACAGAAAATAGTTGTATCTATTGCCTAGAAATTTAACCCCCTTCAAAAAGATGAAGTGGCGCCTGGGTGTCTCAGTTGGCTAAGCGTCCGACTTCGGCCCAGGTCATGAACTTGCAGTTTGTGAGTTCAAGCTCTGCGTGGGGTTCTGTGCTGATAGCTCAGAGCCTGGACCCTGCTTCGGATTCTGTGTCTCATTCTCTCTCTGTTCCTCCCCAACTCGCACTCCGTCTCTCTCTCAAAAATAAAGATTAAAAAAAAAAAAAGGAATGTTTTGTGATTTACTGACAAGAGGTTTTTAAAATATGAATTATAAAGCAAAGCTTATTTTTAGTATTCATTTTGCAGCTCAGCATAATCAGTGTGCCTCTCGCCTCCCTCAAAATGAGTCCTTTCTGAAATTATAACTCTTGATTCAAAATTAGCTTTTTTTTTTTAAATTTATTTATTTGTTGAGAGGGAGGAAGAGGGAGAGAATCCCAAGCAGGCTCCACGCTGTTAGTGCAGAGACTGATGCAGCGTTTAAGCCCACAAACTGTGAGATCATGACCTGAGCTGAAATCAAGTCAGACCCTTAACCAACTGAGCCACCTAGGCACCCCCAAAATTAGCTTCTTAATGTAAATTATACCTTAATAATACTGATTAAAGATTAGACTTTTGGGGTGCCTGAGTGGCTTAGTTGGTTGAGCATCCAACTTCTGCTCAGGTCATGATCTTGCCCTACATTGGGCTCTGTGCAGACAGCTCAGAACCTAGAAACTGCTTTGGATTCTCTATCTCCCTTCCTCTCTGCCCCTCGTCCGTTCACATTCTCTCTCTCTCTCTCTCTCTCTCTCTCTCTCTGTCTCTGTCTCTCTGTCTGTCTCTCTCTCTCCAAAATAATAAAAATTTTTTAAAAATTTATTGAAAAAAATATTAGACTTTTAACCTTGGGCATAACATATGAAATGTGTTATTATGCCCAGGTGGGTATTTATTTTGATGACAAGCTGTTATTACAGACCCTAGTCTCATGGAAGACTTGTTTTCTGTTAACAATTCTTTGTGAATGTGGGATATTATGTCCATTTCTTATCCTTAAAAAATAAGTCTCAACTTTTACTGAATCTGATTTTTAAGTACAATTTGAGAATATTATGCCTCAAAGGCCACCTGGGTACTGGTACTCCCCAGCCTAAAGAAATAAGGTTAGTTTGTCCAATGCCAATCCAGATCATTCAACTGAAATAAATTTGGTAAAGCCAAAAATAAAACAGGTACAAAAAGAGACAAACTTGCGTGCTATATGATATACCCGAGAGAGGGTTATGTAAGAAACTTAAATAAACTTAACGGATACTTATGTAAGAAAAGTGTACATCTGACTAATGTTGACTTAGCATAGAAAAATGGGCAAAGAACATCAAGACAACAAGTAGAGGGGTTCAAATGGCCAGTAAACACATGGAAACAAGGGTTTTCACCAGAGAGCACCTGGGTGGCTCAGTCTTAAGCATATGACTTCAGCTCAGGTCATGAGCATCTGGTTTGTGGGTTCAAGCCCTGCATCGGGCTCTGTGCTGACAGAGCCTGGAGTCTGCTTCTGATTCTGTGTCTCCCTGTCTCTCTGTCCCTCCCGCACTCACGCTCTCTTTCAAAAATAAACATTAAAAAAATTTTTTTTTAAATAATTTTCACCAGTCAGCCTGGCAAACAGTTTTTATTTTTTATTTATTTTTTTTTCAACGTTTTTATTTATTTTTGGGACAGAGAGAGACAGAGCATGAACGGGGGAGGGGCAGAGAAAGAGGGAGACACAGAATCGGAAACAGGCTCCAGGCTCTGAGCCATCAGCCCAGAGCCTGACGTGGGGCTCGAACTCACGGACCGCGAGATCGTGACCTGGCTGAAGTCGGACACTTAACCGACTGCGCCACCCAGGCGCCCCAGCAAACAGTTTTTAAAAGAGAAAGAATTTGGAGCGCCTGCCTGGTTCAGTCTGTAGAACATGTGACTCTTGATCTTGGGGTTGTAAATTCAAGTGGCATGTTGGGTGTAGAGATTACTTAAAAATAAAATCTTGAAGAAAAATAGTGCTAAATGTTGCTGGGAGTATGACACTTATACGTTGTAGGGGAGGGAATATAAATTGGTGGTCTTTGTGGAAGGCAGGTTAGCAGAGCCTTTGTAAATGTTATGTTCAATAATTCTGCCTAAGAATCTGTCCCAAGGATGGGCACCTGGGTGGCTCGTTGGTTGAGTGTCCAACTTCAGCTCAGGTAATGAACTCATGGCTGTGTGTTCAAGCCCACACTGACAGCAAAGACCCCACTTCTGATCCATTGTCCCTCTCTCTCTGCACCTCCCCTGCTCATGCTCACTCTCTCTCAAAAATAAACATTAAAAACAATATATCCCAAAGAAATAATCAAATGTGGACTTATGTATAGGGATGAGTATCGTAGCATTATTTGTGATGATAAAAACCTGTAAACTGTAAGTGTCCCTCCTTAGGGAGATGACTATGTTGTGGTATACCCATACAATAGAGAGTTAAATCACTAAAAGTGCGATTTTTGTTCAACTCTTGATGACGTGAAAAAATGCTCAAATGGTGTGGGGCGGGGGGAGGGGGGTAGAATACAAAGCTTTACACACATAGAAGATTAATTTTATAAAAGAACTGCAGAGGAAAGAATAGGGTAGCAAATACAGTAATCAGTCTATCTTCAGCTTTCTTTGAACTCAGCCGGAAGTAGTTTGATTTGGGGGATGGAATCCCAGAGTATATCTGAGGAGTTTTCTATTCTCACAGGTAGTTGTTACCTAGCATACCTAGCATACTTGGAGCACATGTCTTTGTTTTTAGCACATGTCACATGTCTTTGTTTTTAGCTCATGTCACAGTTCTAGTCAAGTGACTTATGGTTTCGGCTTAAAAGGGGATCTGGGGGAGGAAGAGATGCAGGCAGCCATGCTCTGGTTGTCTTTGGAATGTTCTGGGTCTGTCTTTTTTGATTATTATAAGGAAAGGCAGGCTGGTGTTCTAACATTGCTTCAGAAACTGTTCTTAGTGTTTAAACTTCCGACTTTAGATGAATCAGAAATGAAGAGCTTGTTTTATTCATCTCCATATCACAAGAATGTGTTAATCTAGGTGTTTTTTTTAAAAAAATGGCTAAATTCTAACCTCTGCCTTTCCTGTTGCTTTAGTCTTCCTGGTGAACTAGTAAATTACATTTGGATACGTATATGTATATATTATGTATGTATATGTATATATATACATGTGTGTGTATATACATATATATGTATATATGCACGCGCGCGCGCACACACACACACACACACACCCTTAATGTGCCACAAGCTTTAATCTCTCCTAGATCTCCATTTGGAGATGACTGGTATCTGTGAGAATTGAATTAAAAGAAATCAGATGGCTGTGGCGCCTGGGTGGCTCAGTCTGTTAAGCGACTGACTTTGGCTCAGGTCATGATCTCACAGTTCATGAGTTCGAGCCCCGCGTAGGGCTCTGTGCTGACAGCTCAGAGCCTGGAGCCTGCTCCGGATTTCTGTGTCTCCCTTTCTCTCTGCCCCTCCCCCGCTTGCACTCTGTTTCTCTCTCTCTCTGGGAAATAAATAAACATTAAAAAAAAATCAGATGGCTTTTTGTGAGATCCCCACACTGTACAAGAGCACTAGAGTATGTATAGAAAGGAAATACGTATGTAGGAAAGTAGTTGGCAAAGTATGAGGCAAAAGGGAACCGTGGATTTTGCTTTGCCCTATTATTTGTTGTCTTTGTCTCGGCAGTAATTTTTTTGTTGTTTTAAGCACCTAGAAAACAGGATCACTGTCTTTTGAGTTGGTATAACATTTAAGCATATGCAACTAAGTATTCATTAAACTTTTATTAGCATAGAAAAGTTCCAGTAGGAGCATTGTTTGTTAACATAAATCTACATATTGGTAGCAGTTTTTTGCCTGAGGGTGGCTCCAGTATTGAGACTGAGCTGTTTGCATGGCAAATTCAGAGTACCCAATAGATCTGTCATTTTACATTTTCTTTTGGGTCAGAAAAGGCCTGTTTCTGAGGAACAAACTCCCTCAGATTTGTTAAGGAGATGTTTCATAAAAGATTCCTTAAATCGGGTCTTTTAACTGATTTGGCCTTGGGGTCTGACTTCAAAACGCTGCAATACCACACCATGGCTTTTGAAGCCAGATTCCCAGCGTTCTGTTCATGTTCTGCACAATCCAGCTTTGTTCGCTCTGGTACCGGTCTGGGGCCCCACCCTACCCTTGTTTGTGGGTGATCACTGAGCTTTTTGATAAAGGCCATCAACTGACTGTATTTTTACCATGTGCCCAGGAGGCTGTGACTGGTTTTTATTCTGCTAGCCTGGCATGGGTGTGGTTGAAAATTGTGTCTGTGTAATTTAGGGATAAAATTATCTTTTTATCAGATAAGTTGTATTTATGAACAGCATTAGATATAAAATGTCATACCTTCCTTTGCCTGTCATGGGGTCAGGATTATCTACCCAACTGGGTTTCTGTGAACAGTTTAGTCACGGCCACACTATAAGGTAGGATCAGAGCTTTAATTCTGCGCTCCAATGTGGTTTACTGGTCACTAGAATGTGCCCCATCAGCATTTGAAAGAATAAAGGTCATCAAGTGAGAAGGAGAAATGCATTTGGATAGGTTCTTTTGAAAATTATCTTGTGTACACATACCCATGTCAGTATCATATGCTTTGGAATAGGGCATTTCAGCAAGGTTATGGTGTTAGAAATTAACCCTGAAATCTGTGAGTTTATTTTAGCTCTGTGATTGGGCAGTACTTACATCACTAATGATGATTTGCTGCTTATTGAACTGACTGAATCGTGGGCCCGTCTTCCCTAAACACCTGGGGGTGCAATTGAGGGATGCATTAAGTCACTTTTTAGGTTTGTTTTTAATGGTACTGTTTTATTCGGAGTGTCTCTTCATTTTCAGAGTAAGCCCCAGTCTCCAAAGAGAGTTGCTTCCCTTCCCATCAACAATGGCTCCAAAGAAAATGGGATCCATGAGGAACAAGACCAAGAACCACAGGATCTCTTTGCAGGCAAGTATGGACTCATAACTTACACTAGAAGTCTTCTAAGTTGCTGAGTTAATAAGCAAGATGTATATTGGAAACATAACTCCACATAAGGATATGGTTATGGAGGATTCCAAATCATGTAGAATATAGTCCCTGCTATCAAGATTCTGACAGGTTTAGGGAGTAAGACATAAACATACAGATCGAGTTAGACAAGCTACTAAACAATATAAATGTGGCAAGAATGCTAGAAATACTAAGTCTCAGATCTTTTAGATCAGACTAAAGTAGTAGCTTTAGACTTTTAAGACCAAGACTCATAGTAAGAATTACATTTTGTGTCATAATCCAAAATATATACATATTTATATAAAACTGAAACAAAGTTTTATTAAGTGACTTGCTTTTACAATACAATCTGAAATTTTCTATTGTTTCTCCTTTTTTTTTTTAACTGCTATTTACAACCCGTTGAGTTGATTTCATAGTTCACCAAAGAGCCACAGCCTGCAGTTTGAAAAACATTAGTATGGTGTGGGGTTTCTTAACCTTGGCACTAGTAACATTTTGGGCCTAATGATTATTTGTTGAGAGGGCCTCCCTGTTTTCAGCAGGGGGTGATTTTGCCCCCCAGAAGACACTTGGCAATGGTGAGAGCCATTTTTGGTTGTCACAGCTGGTAGTGCTATTAGTATCTGGTGGATAGAGGATGTAAATGCTGCTAAAAACCTTGTAATACACAAGACAAGCCCTCACAAAAAAATTATTTAGCTCAAAATGTCAGTAGTGCCCACATTGAGAAACTCTGGCTAAGAGTGACTTTGGAAGACTTCCTGGAAGAAGCAGAATTTATGTAGGAGAAAAAGGAGAAACAGTACTAATGGTTGGGCAGGTAAGTTTGAAAGCCAGTCAATAAACTTGAACCAGAGCAGGGAGTTCTTAGAGAAGCCCTGGAAGAAAAGGCTTGAAATGTAGTTTGGGAGGCTTTTAGACATCAGTAATAATTACAGTTTGAATTTTCATCCTGTCAACTAAGAGCCACTGGCCATTTTGAATAAAGAAAGTGATATCAGGGGCTCCTGGGTGGCTCAGTAGGTTAAGTATCTGACTCTTGATTTGGGCTTTGGTCTTCATCTCCTGGTTCATGGGTTCAAGCCACATGTCAGGCTCGTTGCTGACAGTGCAGAACCTGATTGGGATTTTCTCTCTTTGCTCCTCCCCTGCTTGCACATGCACTTTCTCTCTAAATAAATACATAAATAAATTTTAAGAAAAAATAGAGTGATATGGGTAAAGTAATGTTTTGAGAAGACTGATCTAGTGGAATTACTATATAAAATGGATTGCAGTAGAGAAAACTAGATACTTCAGAAGGCAGTTACAGATTTGCTTAAGAATGAAATGGCAGGGCACCTGGGTGGTTCAATCATTAAGCATCTGACTTCGGCTTAGGTTATGATTTCATGATTAGTGAGTTCGAGTCCCACATCAGGTGATTTCAAGCCCCACTTCTGGTAAGCCCTGCTTCATTCTGTCTTTCTGCCCCTCGCTCACTTGCACCCTCTCTCTCTCTCAAAAAAAGAAAAGTAGAAGGAGAAGAAAGAAAGAAAGAAAGAAAGAAAGAAAGAAAGAAAGAAAGAAGAAAGAAAGAAAAAGAATGATATGGCAATGACCAAAAATAAGAGGATATAAATAGGAAGGGAAAGGTGAAAACTTTTCAAAAGAGAAATCAACAAAATTTGGTTGTTGTTGTTGTTAGTGATTGGATGTAATGGACATCCAAAAATGGGAATTGAAGATGGAGTCAAAGGTTTCAAATCCAAGGATTAAGAAGAAAATGAGCATTTTGAGAACTACATTCTGAAAGAAGAAACTGGCTTTGAGGGAAAAGTGAGTTTGGGTTTGAGATATTTTAAATTTGAAATGCAAAGGAAAATGCCCAGGAGGTGATTTGAATTGTGGTACTCTACCTGGGGAGAGAGGGAGGAACGGAACACACAGGAGTTGTTTTCCTAGAGTGAGCAACTCAGAGAAGAGTGGTGAGCAAAGGGAGACATGGGAGGGCAGAGGATAACATCTTGGGAAGGTCCTCTCATTAGAACTCTGGTAGGAAATTTAAAAGACGTGAAAGTGAGGTGCCTGGGTGGCTCAGTCGGTTAAGCGTTGTACTTTGGCTCGGGTCATGATCTCGCAGTTAGTGAATTTGAGCCCCGCGTTGGGCTCTGTGCTGACAGCTTGGAGACTGGAGAATTCTTCAGATTCTGTGTCAGTCTCTCTCTCTCTGCCTTTCCCCCGCTTGCACTCTTGTCTCTCTCTCCCTCAAAATAAATAAACATTAAAAAAAAATTGTTTTTAAAGACGTGAAAGAGAAGTTAGAATGACTTTAATCATTTATTAGAAGATTTTCCAATTCCTTTTATCTCTGAAACTTAAAAGTGCACACTGTTCATTGTGGTAGTAATTGTTTTGGATAAAGTTACTGGAGGAGAAATGCAATTATCTAATGAATTATCTTTAGTTATATGGCAGGTTAAAAAGGGTTTTTTCTCAGGGCGCCTGGGTGGCTCAGTAGGTTGAGTGTCCGACTTAGGCTCAGGTCATGATCTCGCAGTTGGTGAGTTCACACCCCCCGTCAGGCTCCGTGTTGAGGGCTCTATGCTGGCAGCTTGGAGCCTGGAGCCTGCTTCGTATTCTGTGTCTCCCTCTCTCTCTGCCCCTTCCCACTCATGCTGTCTCTCCCTGTCTCTCAAAAATGAATAAACATTAAAAAAATTAAAAAAAAAGGGGGGGGGTTCTCTCTGGGTCCTTAACATTCATATTATCTTTCCTTATAAGAAGACTTGAAATCTTAGTGTGACTGAGTTACCCCTATGGCTGGATTTTATGTACATGAACATGTAGGAAATCTTTATCACGGACATATTTATGAGTAATGAAGATTCTGATTTACTTTGATCCCCTACTGTTTTCATAAGCAGCCAGTACCTGCCTCACTACTAAGAAAGGAACATGAAAGGAATACCTGTAATGAGACATTTAATTTAGGACTTGAGTAGCTTCTCAGGTGTCTTAGATATGGATTGTGGAGATTTAAATGTTCTGAGTTTATTTTCCACATGATTAGTTCAGTGACAATCTGAGTCTCTGTGATGGAGCACAAAGGCTTTTCCATTACTCTTGTCAAGAGTGCAGAGAAAACCCCTTTAAAATTTTTAATTTTTATTTTTTTATTTTAGTGAGAGAGAGAAAGAAGCAGGGGAGAAGGGTGGGGGGGTGGGGAGAGAGAGAGAGAGAGAGAGAGAGAGAGAGAAAATCTCAAGCAGGCTCCACACTCAGTGAGGAACCCAACACAGGGCTCAATCTCATGATCCTGGGATCATGACCTGAGCTGAAATCAAGTGAGATGCTCAGCCAACTGAGCTACCCAGGCACCCTGAAAAAACAAACAAACAAAAAAAACCACTTTCTAACATAAGATTAGGCATCTTTGTCACATGAATATCAGTAAAAGATACATAGCTCTTCAAAAGGCTTTCAGTAGCACTTAATAAGTGAAAGGTTTAAAATAAGAAGTACCTCCAGGGTTCCTGGATGGCTCAGTCAGTTAAGCATCTAACTTCCTGCTCAGGTCATGATGTTGCAGTTTGTGGGTTTGAGCCCTGCATCAGGCTCCACGCTGACTGTACAGAGCCTGCTTGGTAGTGTCTCTCTCTCTCTATCTCTTTTTCTCTCTCTCTCTACCCGTCTTCAATTTGCATGTGCACATTCTCTCAAAAAAGTGCCTCCTGTTTCATTTCCAAACACATTTGTTAACTTAATTATTTACTTGGGGCCTACATGGTGTAACTTTAACATACTTCAGTTGGTTGCTTGCTCCACAGAGCCCTACCACCCTGAGACGTTTATCATGTGTACTTTTTTTTTGTTTTGTACACCCACACCAGGGTCAGATTACATAGCCACCTTCTTTTCCTGGTAGCTACCAGTTCCAACAGTGTGACATCCATGTTTGTAGACATGATTCATATTTAATGATTAGAACATTGATCTAGGACTTAGTTATACCTTATAGATCCCCATCTCTGGTTTCATTTTAGCTCCAAGGAAAGTCTAGAAAAGAAAAAAAAATAGCTTTCTTTGAATTTTCTAAGAGTAAAATTGAATGCCTACTGATCAGGCTAAACCCAAGTAGTTATTTATGTTTTTCTTTATTAAAAAGGAAAAAAATCTTAGCTGTTTAGGTTTTGAACTTCTAGTTGTATTGCTCCAAGTTGAAAGTGCATTCTTTTTATTAGTCAAAAAAAATTTAATGTCTAAAAATGGTACATAATGCTCTTTTAAAATCCCCTTTCTAGAACACTTACGGAATGAGTTGTTGTGCTCAACTGAGATTTTCCCAGATAGACAAAAGCAATTTTAAGCACTATTTTTTTAACGGTTTTTATTAGAAAGATTTTCAGATGTTACAACATCTTTTTATCCCCCTTGGATAGCGTGTGTTAAACATAATCTTTGCAAGACGATCTAAAAGTATAATTGTAAACAATTTTTTAATGTTTATTTTTGAGAGCGAGACAGAGTGTGAGCAGGGAGGGGGCAGAGAGAGAGGGAGACACAGAATCTGAAGCAGGCTCCAGGCTCTGAGCTGTCAGCACAGAACCCGAGGAGGAGCTTGAACCCACGAACTTCTGAGATCATGACCTGAACCGAAGTCGGACGCTTAACCAACTAGCCACCCAGGTGCCCCTGTAAACAATTCTTAAACTGTGCTGAACATTAAAAAAAAAGGGGGGGGGGACACCTGGGTGGCTCAGTCGGTTAAGCGTCCGACTTCGGTTCAGGTCATGATTTCACACTTCGTGGGTTCAAGCCCCGCGTCGGGCTCTGTGCTGACGGCTCAGAGCCTGGAGCCTGTTTCAGATTCTGTGTCTCCCTCTCTCCCTGCCCCTCCCCTGTTCACACTCTGTCTCTGTCTCAATAATAAATAAACATTATAAAACAAAAACAAACACAAAAAAAAACCAAAAACTGTGCTAAAACAACATTGCCAATCTCAGGTGTGACGAATAGTGTCTTTCCCCAAGTGTTACGGTGTTTGTATTTTGGGTCTGTTTTTTCTAGCTTAACGGTTTTCCTGATTTCCTTTGATGTCATTTTTTTGCTGTCAGTACATCTAACTCTAGCTGAACTCACTCTTCTTTTACAAATAGTTATAACAGGAATAAATAGAGTTTATATAGGGTTTTAAAGGAATATTCCTAATAGTAAATTGGTAATAGTAAAGTAAATAGTAAAGTAAAATAGTAAAGTAAATTCCTAATTAGTAAAGTAAAATCTGACTTTGGCTATGTAGTCTTTTTGCTTAATACCTGATTCTTGCCTAAATTTTATGTAGGAGAGGATAGCTAAGCAGTTGTATTTGGAAATGGGAGAGATTGTTCTGCCAAACTAGTGCCAAAAGAGCACTTCTCTTACCATACTCCCCTTTTATCTATGTAAAAACTTCTTCCCTTGTTCTGTTCACCTAGGTCAAATTTCTCTACTCTCACTCTTTTAGTTTGAAAACGTGTAAGTATTGTGAGTGGTTGCTGTTGTTTCTTGTCTTAGCCTATAGAACTGAAGTTTAGCCATGAGAGACCCATTATGGATCTGCATTGTAAAATATCAACTATTTTTAGATGCCACAGTGGAGCTCTCCCTGGACAGTACACAAAATAATCAGAAGAAGGTGCCAGCCAAAACGCTGATTTCTCTTCCTCCACAGGAAGCCACAAATTCTTCTAAGCCCCAGACAAGCTATGAGGAGGTGAGACTTTGTGCTTTGGTCTTGTTTCTTTTGGATTTTTAGGACTGTGTTGCCAGTCTAAAGTTCAGTTGACTATGAACCTTGAAAAAATATTTATGACTCTTGAAGAAGACTTTTATGGTTAATGGACAGCCAAAATCCAATAAAGAACTCTTTCCTGGTCAGAGTATCTATTACCCAGAGGATAACACAGAGGCTTTCAGTGAACACTAATGATACTTAATGTCTGAAGCTCCCATATTCAAGAGTGTAGTCTTTCCTCATTCTCTCTTTAGCCCAACAAACACAAGTCTTCCAAAATCTAGTAATTATTTATTATGATCACAGTAAGGTTTTAGGTGAATAGATGTAACAAAGTCCTTTGAGCAATCTTCACCTTAAAATTGTGGAGGTTGATTCATTGGAATTATTGGAAATGGACAGAACTTAACACTGATGTGTAGAAGGATATAAATTAATGTTGTTAAATTGAAACAAGGTAAGTACAGGGCATAATTAACACCCTTTTTTGTGTATTAACTCTCATGGTTTGTCTTCTCTTTAAAAGCTAGAGGAAGAAGAACAGGAAGACCAATTTGATTTGACAGTTGGTATAACTGATCCTGAGAAGATAGGTAAGTGTACTTGAACATCCTTCTGATGTTAGGATGTGGCCGAGGAAAACATGGCTAGCCAGTTTCTACATGGTTACCTCTAGAGCTGAATTAGCAAATGTGAAGTGCTTCATCATTCTCTCTCCTGTAAGATTATTCCCCTTGCTATGCTTCTAAGGCTAGAAATAGTAGTTACCTAGTACTTTATTAGGCTTTTTTTTTTTTTTTTGCTTTTGGGAAAAAAAAATCAGAGACTTTAAATACTATTAGAATTCTTTCTTAAATATTTTATTTTTAAGTAATCTCTACACCCAACATGGGGCATGAACCTACAACCCCAAAATCAAGAGTTGCATGCTCCACTGACTGAGCCAGCCAGGTGCCCCAGAATCCTTTCTTAAAAACCCAAACATTGTGGGACACCTGAGCTTAGTCAATTGAGCATCCGACTTTGGCTCGGGTCATGATCTCACAGTTTCTGAGTTTGAGCCCCTGTTTGGATCCTCTGTCCCCCTCTTTCTGCCCCTCCCCTACTTGCACTCTCTGTCTCTCAAAAATAAACATTTAAAAAAAAAAAAAACAAAAATTGCTTTTTCCCACAGAGTTGATAAGACCATTTTACTTTTCTTTGAAATCATAAATTTTATTTAAGCATCCTAAAACATGTTCTAAAATTTGAGGGTACTAAATTTGTTTTTCCCCTAAAAAGTTTGGAATTCTTGTTACATATTATTTATCATGCATTCTTGATAGCCTAAAGAAGTACCTAAGTCTGTATCTCTCTTTGATAGGTAATGACTAAAGGACCTGGTTGAATTTTGGTCAAGTTTGGGGGAAGTTGGGTTTTCAAAAAGCACAATACATAATTTTGGCCAGAACTTGGGTTTTCTGGATGGCCTTCCCATGTCGCAAATTTGTGAAAGCTATTATCGAGCAGAGAGCAACAGGCCTCAACTTTCCTTGTTCTAGGTACAGTCCCTGAGAAAAGAGGCTTTACAGAACCTTTCCTTCTAAACATGGGTGCTGTTTATATGGTCAAGAGGAAAATGTAATTTCCAACCCTTTGTTCTGAACTAGAAACAGGAAATTAAAAAAAAATTTTTTTTTAACATTTATGCAATTTTGAGAGACAGAGACCAGGTGCAAGTGGAGGAGGGGCAGAGAGAGAAGGAGACACAGAATCTGAAGCAGGCTCCAGGCTCTGAGCTGTCAGCACAGAGCCTGACATGGGTCTCAAACCCACGAACCGTGAGATGATGACTTGAGCTGAAGTCGGATGCTTAACCAACTGAGCCAACCAGGCACCCCTAGAAACAGGAATTTATAAACTGTAATTAGACTTTATGCCAAAATGGTTTGTTGAGTTTGACTTTTCCTAGATTGTTGCACTGATAAGATGTTTATGAGCATGTTATACAGTTTCTCCATCCAGTAGTAGAGGAAACTGAGGACTACTAGGTGAAATGCAGCTTTCCTGTCAGGTCACAGTATGGTTCGTGGTACAGCCTGGGCCAGTACTTTGGATTACATGTGTGGGGTTATTTTTTGCCTCTCCAATATTTATAAGTATTTTGTAAGCACATTGATTTTAAGTTAGTTAAACTTTACCTGCTTTTTTTTTTTTTAATTTTTTTTTTTTAACGTTTTATTTATTTTTGAGACAGGGAGAGACAGAGCATGAACAGGGGAGGGTCAGAGAGAGGGAGACACAGAATCTGAAACAGGCTCCAGGCTCTGAGCTGTCAGCACAGAGCCCGACGCAGGGCTCGAACTCACAGACTGCGAGATCATGACCTGAGCCGAAGTCGGCCGCTTAACCAACTGAGCCACCCAGGTGCCCCAAACTTTACCTGCTTTAAATCCTTAGTAGAATAAGAATAATTGAATAATACTAATTGTTTTAATATTTAAAAGTCACAATGTTTTAGGGACGCCTGGGTAGCTCAGTTGGTTAAGCGTCCGACTTCAGCCAGGTTACGATCTCGCGGTCCGTGAGTTCGAGCCCCGCGTCAGGCTCTGTGCTGACAGCTCAGAGCCTGGAGCCTGCTTCGGATTCTGTGTTTCCATCTCTCTGCCCCTCCCCTGCTCATACTCTGTCTCTCTCTCTCTCTGTCTCTCAAAAATAAATAAACATTCAAAAATAAATAAAAGTCATGATGTTTTGAAAAAATAATTAAATAAAAGTCATGAAGTTTAATAGACGAGAAGAGGGAGGAAGTATATTAGTTTCCTATGGCTTCTATAACAAAGTACTACAAATAGAGTGCTTAAAACAACAGTAATATATTTGCTCACAATTCTGAAATCATGGTGTCAGCAAGGCCATCCTCCCTCTGAAGGCACTAGGGAAGGTTTTCTGTGTCTCTCCTCTAGCTTCTGGGAGCCTCAGGCATTCCTTGGCCTGTAGCTGCATCGCCCCAATTTCTGCCTTCATTGTCACGTGACATTCTACCTGGGCGTCTTCATATTGTCTTCCCTCTATATATGTCTATCTCTGTGTCCACATTTCTCTTTATAAGGACAGAAGTCATATTGAATTAGGGCCCACTACTACTGACCTCATTTTTACTTGATTTCTATAAGACCCTGTTTCCAAATAAGGTCATACTCTGAGATGCTGGCAGTTAGGACTTTCAACATATCTTTTTAGGAGTACAGAATTCATTCCATAACAGTAATTTAAACATCTTGTGGATCAGATTTATTTAAACACAGATCCCTTTGGTGATAAGCTTTCATTCCCTGTATCATAGTCTAGATTCTTAGTCACGTTGATGCCAAGAAACCAGCTGCTTAGAGCATGTTCATATTCAGGACCTGATCTTGGGGCACCCTATCTGGCTCAGTTATTGGAGCATGTGACTCTTGATATCAGGGTTGTAAGTTTGAGCCCATGTTGCATGTAGAGATTACATTAACAAAAAACAAAAAAACCTGATTTTTACAACCACACCTTCTATTTGTGTGGGCTATTTATTCAACGTGTGCTTCTCCTTCCCACATCTAAATAATTAGAAACCGGGGTGCCTGGCTGGCTCAGTTGGTAGAGCATGCTACTCTTGATCTCAGGGTCATGAGTTAAAGCCCCACACTGAGATTACTTAAAACCTTGGGGCACCTGGGTGGCTCAGTCGGTTGGGCATCTGACTCTTGATTTTGGCTCAGGTCATGATTTCACAGTTCATAAGATGGAGTCCCATGCTTTGAGTGCAGCCTATTTAGGATTTTGTCTCTCCCTCTCTCTCTGCCCCTCCCCTGCGCACGTGTTCTCATTCTCTGTCTCTGTCTCTCTTTCTCTTTCTCTCTCTCTCTCTCTCTCTCTCAAAATAAATAAACGTTTTAAAAAGTGAAAACAAAAAATAAAACCAAACAAATAAATAAATAGGATCCCACTTCTACTAGGATGTGCTTTTTAGAGCCATGGTAATTTGCATATGCCATCTCCAACTCTCTGAAATTATTTAGGAAGTTAATGTAAATTTAAAACTGCTGTATTACTAGCCCATTTCCATATTTTATGAACTCTGTGTGTACATGCAGGTATGTTTTCCCTCACTCATTGCCTCAGTAAAAGCAGCTGATAGGCTGGCAAACTGATGATCTTGCTTTGCTGTTAGGTGTTACGTATGGTTGCACTTAGGCTTCCTTTTTTGCAGGCACTAAATTACGGGGTTGACCACTTGGAAATTTGACTATGACCTCTGAATGAAATTTTGAATACTTTTTCTATAAAGTAAATTTAGATTTTTTTTTCCTTTTAACAGTGGTAAATGTTCTTGGTAGTGTTAGGCAATGTAGTGGTTAGAAGAGAACTAACAGTGGTAATTGATACGCAGTAATTTCTAAGGGTTAGCGTATGATTTCTGTTTCACGTACACCCTTTTGGTAGTATTAGAAAGGTAGAGAAGACAAGCCCTTCCTTCCTGTATAATCTCCAACTTCTCTATGTACTTTTTAAAAACAGGCATTCCTAGCCGTCTCATTGAAACCAGGTTGCCTGCTGTATGTGCCCTGCCGATCCAGTACTGCACCTTCTTCCCCTGGGCCCTCTCCCAGGACCAGTTCAGAATCATAAGCACCTAGTAATTGTTGACCTAGGTTTTTCTGTTTGGTGTGAGGAAGAATTGAGTGGGGGAAGAAGGGAACAAAACCAACCCAAAACACCACATTCTAGCCCTGGAGCTTTGTCAGAGTCCACTGTATGTCTTTTCACTGCTCAGGGAGTCAATGGTGCCTTTATGTCCCTAAGTGGTCTAGGTCAGAACACTACCACAGAGAAAAACAATTGCTTGAATCCCAAATTATTTAACAGTCAAAGGCTTTTTCAGAAAAATAATTCCTCCAGGAAAGAGATTTGTGTGACATCAGGCAGCCGAAGCGTCTTCCTGCCAGGTCCTTTGCTCTGGATGAACATGCTAGATGAGAGAGGTCAGTGTCCCCCAGCACCAGTGGAGGGGTCCGTGACAGTATTTCTGAAAGAGCAAACCGAGCCCAGAGCTAGCTTAGGGTAGAACTGCTTGTTTCCTTTTACATCAGTTGCTTCCTTCTCCTCCTGCTTTATACAGCAAGAGAATTGTTTGATTTTAGACAGATGTGTGTAACCAGCCCAAATATTGGCATGGTAACAACCGATGGATTGTCAGTATCCAGTGCTGCTTTGTGAAGGGTATAAATGGAGCCTGGCCTTGGAACAGGGGGCTGACTCTCTTGTTTAACTCAACCTGGGACCCCGCCAGCATCCGTGGGGGCATGATATGTGCCGCAAAGACCTTAAGGCAAAGTAGGAGATTGTAGGATAGTTTATAAAGCTTGGAGATGAAACAAGTGTCTCTTCTTATACAGGGCCCCTGTGGTTTATGATTCCTGGTTAGATATTAGCAAGATCAGCACTGCTTTAGTTTGCAGAATACTCCTCTCACGCTTTCTTATTTTCCCACAGGGGATGGTATGAATGCCTATGTAGCCTACAAAGTTACAACACAGGTGAGTCCAAGCGACCCAGCTGGTAACCAACTTAATAGACTTGGGTGTTTATACCAAGAAGGTCATCATTCAGATTATTTCTGGGTATTTCCTTAGTTTCTTTGCCAACATCCTCCTTCAAGTTTACTCAAGATGGAGCAAGCCTGCATCCCTTTGGTAATCTCATCTGAGCCTTTCCACTTTTCTTCCAGAGAGCTAACACTTCAGTGTGAAACTTTGTAAGTTTTATTAAGACATGTGGTATCTCTGACATTTTTCCCGTCCTTTGTAGGAACTTTGTGGCTTAGAACTAGTTTGGTGGATTGCCCCAAACTATGTCATCTGTTTAAAAATTGTCAGTTCTTATGAGGTTTCCTGTGTGGAACTTCTTTTAATACTTTCCCTGCCCTTTTACCCCTCAGGTCTGGTCTTCCTTTTTTATATAACATTAATGCATACAAAACTTACACAATGTTGTATGCAGGTTATGAAGCATAAAAAATGAAGCCCCGAACCTACCACCAGTCTTAAGATGAGTACCATTGAATCTGCCTGCGTGTTTCTCCCTGTCATATCCCCTGCCTCACACCTTAAGGACAACCACTCTCCTGAGTTGTCTCTCATTTCCTTTATAAAAATTGTTCACATATGTATCTCTAAACAATATGCTGTTTTGCTTTGTCCTTAAGTTTCATAAAAACGGCATCATGCTGAAAATAGCGCTTTCTTTACTAGCATTGTTTCTCAGACCCATCCGTGTTGTGTGTAGCTGTAGTTAGTCCATTGTGTGATTATAGCATAATATATTTATCTGTTTTCCTGTTGTGAATATTTGGCATGTTTCCAGTTTCTGTAATTATGAACCACGACCTTTCTTGCACATGTCTCTTAGTGCACACGTAGAAGAGTTTCTCTAGAGTGTATAAAAACAGGAGGAGTCCCCCAGGGTACTAGATAGAGCAGATGTTGAGGAAAAGGAATATAAACTTTTGTTTTTGTTTCTGCTTTTTTTTAATACAAACTTTTAAAAAAGTCTTTGTACCAATTTATACTCCCACTGGCATGTGTGTAAAAGTTCCCATTGATATACTCCCCTGCTAACAACTGGCAAGGACAGCCTCCTTAGATTTTGCCTACCTGGTGAGTATTAAATGATCTGTCATTATGATATAGGCCTCGTCTTTTTTGCTAGAAGTTTCCTTTATATTGTCTTACTACTACTTGTTGGCCTGCCCCCTGTGAGTTCTAGATCCTGTGACACTTTAGAGTTTAAAGTGTCTACAGTGTAGATATTTCACCTGATCCTCCCCCCTCTAGTCTGTCTTTTGTTTCACTGCTTTGTTTCCAGCGGCAAATACCCTTAATAAGGCAGTGCAAGATGAATGGGTTGTAGGTGACCATAGATTTCCTCTTTAAACTAGACTTCAACCTCTGTTTCCTTTTATTTTATTTTATTTTATTTTTAAAATTTTTTTAGCGTTTATTTATTTTTGAGACAGAGACAGAGCATGAACAGGGGAGGGTCAGAGAGAGAGGGAGACACAGAATCCGAAACAGGCTCCAGGCTCTAAGCTGTCAGCACAGAGCCCGACGCGGGGCTCGAACTCACGGACCGTGAGATCATGACCTGAGCTGAAGTCGGACGCTTAGCCGACTGAGCCACCCAGGCGCCCCCCTCTGTTTCCTTTTAGAACAAGTGTTCTCAACCTGGAAGTAGAACTGGATTTGAATTTAATTAGTTGCCTTTGTAACGCTGTACATTTTGTTTTATGCATTTAATATTCTTATCCTGAGAAGGGCTCTGTAGACTTCCTGACAGAGGAGACTGTAGTTCAGAAGGTTTAAGAATCTTAGCCTTGGAGAAAGTTATTTGCCAGGTGGCTAAAGGACAGGGATCTGGGAAGTAAACTCCTTTCACATCAGCCAGATGACTTTACAGATACTCATCTTCTATTTGAAATGATATCGCCTTGTGTTTTTTCTGTCCCCAAGACGAGCCTACCAATGTTCAGGAGTAAACAGTTTGTGGTGAAAAGAAGATTTAGTGACTTTCTGGGTCTTTACGAGAAGCTATCGGAGAAACATTCTCAGAATGGCTTTATTGTCCCTCCTCCACCCGAGAAAAGCCTAATAGGTAAGCATGTGGTCTTTAATTCTGCCTGGATTTTTTCCTTTGTGTTCTTTCTGCAGTATACTTTCTACTTAGTATATGAGAATACTTAACTGTGGAATCTTATGGTTAGGAAAGAAATATTTCCAATGTTTTCCTGTAAATCACATGAGGCCTAGAGAAATAGCATGTTTTGACATGTACTCTTTCCTTGGGTGCAGTAGGAGGCTATGCTTTGAGCTTTCACAGCTGTGTGTGTGTGTGTGTGTGTGTGTGTGTGTGTGTGTGTGTGTGTGTGCGCGCGCGCGCGTGCATGCACGTGTGGTGTTTGAGTTTATATTGGTATCAGGAGTCTTAAATGATTCCTAATTCCTCCAGATTGAAATGTACTAAATTGGATGGAGGTTTGGGGGAGCTGAGGAACCTTCCCATTGCCATCAGTTGATGTTTGTTCATCTAGACTTAGAGTCCTGTGGCCCTTTTAGAAAACATATAATATTCTGCAAGTCCCAGAGTTGAGAACCTTCAGCACTTTGAGACTAGTTCAAAAAATGATTCTCATGTAAAGAATCTTTTGTTCATGTCTCCTCGCAACGTAGGGGTGTAGAAGTGGCCTCTGGTTGTTTTTGGTAATGCTGTTCTCATTGCCTTTCCTTTTGTGGGCTTTCTCACAGGTGTTTGTTTTGTTTTGTTTTGTTTTTTTTGTTTTTTTTTTTTTAATTTTTTTTTTTCAACGTTTTATTTATTTTTGGGACAGAGAGAGACAGAGCATGAACGGGGGAGGGGCAGAGAGAGAGAGGGAGATGCAGAATCGGAAACAGGCTCCAGGCTCCGAGCCATCAGCCCAGAGCCTGACGCGGGGCTCGAACTCACAGACCGTGAGATCGTGACCTGGCTGAAGTCGGACGCTTAACCGACTGCGCCACCCAGGCGCCCCTTGTTTTGTTTTTTAATTCATGATGATTTACAGTTATTTTTACTTTTTAAATTCCATTCCAGGAATGACAAAAGTAAAAGTTGGGAAGGAAGATTCCTCTTCTGCAGAATTTCTTGAAAAACGGAGGGCCGCTCTAGAAAGGTAAATGCCATACATCCATTTTCCTGAGTAACATAAGAACAAGTGAAAAGCTGAAACAGACTTAATTATGAAACATTCACTTGAGTTAGTAGAGATGAGACTTGACTGAATTAAAGATTCACACCTCTCTTAGCTCTCTAACCTTTCCTTTGTCTCTGACCTTCCCACCTTAGGAACAGACCATCTTCTTTTCTTTCCTCACCCTAAGTGAGCAGACAATGATATTCTCTTTTGCAGTCAGATATAATTGGCTCTGAGGTCTCTTTCCGAGCAGTTACTTTTCTTCTCTCTTTGGAAATGTGAAGAACATGAATTTGTGCTTATTAGCAGAGTCATACTTAAGTGCCTTATCTGAGCACATTTTAAAGTAATGAAAGACATACGCTTGACACCCAAAACCTTGTGAGGCCAGGTTGACTAACCAGATAACTGCTTATACCCTGTAGGTACCTTCAGAGGATTGTGAATCATCCTACCATGTTACAGGATCCTGATGTCAGGGAGTTCTTAGAAAAAGAAGAGGTTAGTATTGTACATACTGAATTTCATAATTTATACCTGCCTCTAGTGAAATGAAACTAGTTCATTCAATATGCATTTAACCTAGTATAAGACTGTGTTTTAATTTGTAAGCCCTCAAGAATGACAGGTAGTTTTCAGCCTTTGAAATAAAAGTTCTGCCTGTAGTCAAAAGCAACGGGTTTTATTTTATTTTATTATATTTTATTTTTAATTTTTTTAATGTTTATTTATTTTTGAGAGAGAGAGACAGAGTGCAAGCAGGAGAAGGGCAGAAAGAGAGGGAGGCACAGAATCCGAAGTAGGCGCCAGGCTCTGAGTTGTCAGCACAGAGCCTGACGTGGGGCTCGAATTCACGAACTGTGAGATCATGACCTGAGCCGAAGTTGATCACTTAACTGACAGCCACCTAGGCACCCTAAAAGCAACTGGTTTCAGGAGTCAGACTGCACCCTGGTGTTTTACTGGAACAACACAGTGATCTGTTTGGCAAGTCCTTTGTATGTCTTTCATAGGTTATGACTTGGCTCAAATTGAATGCTTATTTTGTGCAAGGAGCTGGGGGGCATTAAGTCAAAACCAATTACCACCGACCACAGAACTGCCATATAGCAAAAGTGTTGATTCAAGTAGACCGTCTGTTTTGCAGGCTATGCATAGGCTATTCATGATTGTGAAAAACTGGAGATGGCCCAATTGCTAATAATTGAAGAATTAAGTATTATATATCAATACAGCAAATACTTTATTCTCATCATAAAACAAAAGTATACAGAAGCGTTCATATATATTCATTGGAAATCTATATTATAAGAATTACATGGGACTCCTGGCTGGCTCACTTGGTGGATCATGTGACTCTTGATCTGAGGGGTCGTGAGTTTGAGCCCCATGTCAGGTGTAGGGCTTACTTAAAAAAAATAATAATAATAGTAAGTGAAACTTGGTGCACCTGGGTAGCTCAGTTGGTTAAGCATCCAACTCTTGATATTGACTTAGGTCACGATCTCATGGTTGGTGGGATCAAGCCCCACATGGGGCTCCGCACTGACATCATGGAGCCTACTTAGGATTCTCCCTCTCTCTGCCCCTCCCTCCCTCTCTCTCTCTGAAAATAAATAAACTTAAAAAATGAAATAAAATGTGAAACTTGAAACAGCAGGTATAGAGCTATAGGAACATGTTAGTCAGTAAAGATCAAAAGCAACACTGGAATCAAACGATGTTGTATCCCATATGAAAGAAAAGTAGAAGGAAATAAGTGACAGGATAGGACTCTCATTTTGTATTTATTTTTTCATTTTGTTTTTACTTTTATTTATTTTTTTAACTATTTTTTTAAGTTTTTATTTATTTATTTTGAGAGAGAGACAGAGCAAGCGAGAGAGAAGGGCAGAGAGAGGGAGAGAGACAATCCCAAGCAGGCTTCACACCATCAACGTAAAGCCCTATGCAGGGCTTGAACTTAGGAACCATGAGGTCATGACCTGAGTCGAAACCAAGAGTCAGGTACTTAACTGACTGAGCCACCCAGGTGCCCCCGTGTTTTTACTTGTTAATTTTTACTTAATTTACATACAGTGTGAATTATGTTAATGAAGAAAATGGTACTAGCTATATGTGGTTTCCCCCCCCAAATGAAACTTTTTAATTAAAATTTCTTTACTTAGTGATTTTCATTCCTCCTCTGGGGTTCCTGTATCCATTTTTCCCTTTTACCCCCTCATCCCTCCCTCATACCCCTAAAACAGGGTTTATTGACAACAGCACTATTGACACTTTGGGCTGGATCATTCTTTGTTGTAGAGAGCTGCCTTGTGTGTTGTAAGTTTAGTAGCATCCCTGGCCTCTATCCACCAGATGCCAGTAGCATCTCCACCCCAGTTTGTTTTTTTTTTTTGTTTTTTTTTTTAATTTTTTTTTTTTTCAACGTTTATTTATTTTTGGGACAGTGAGAGACAGAGCATGAACAGGGGAGGGGCAGAGAGAGAGGGAGACAGAATCGGAAACAGGCTCCAGGCTCTGAGCCATCAGCCCAGAGCCTGACGCGGGGCTTGAACTCACGGACCGCGAGATCGTAACCTGGCTGAAGTCGGACGCTTAATCGACTGCGCCACCCAGGTGCCCCTCTCCACCCCAGTTTTAACAACCAGAATTATCTACAGACACGGCCAAATGTCCCCTACGTATCAAAATGGCCCCAAGTTGAGAATTACTTGACTAACCGTCCTGAGCACTAAAATCTAATTTTTCACTGTCGTATAATATATTTACTGTAGATTCTTTAGCATTCTTTTCATACTTTAGGAAAGAAGTGGTTAGACTGAACCAACCAAATTGTTTCTAAATGTTTGGCATGGTTGGCTTAACAAGATCATCCCTAAAAGTAACCCCAATCTGAGTAAATAATGCTCCTGTCCTTAGACCTTTGTTCAAATGGAATCACAGCACAACTTTAGAGCCTCTCAAGACCTTAAGTCCAGCTGTGTGTAGAGTATGCTTATCCAAAGGATCTCGTAACTTTTAACAAAAGCATGTTTGGTATTTAAGCAGTTCATGCCTGGGATAGCAGACCATCTCAACATGAGATCACCTGGCTACATAACAATCTTACTGTATTTTCTTTCTGTACCCTATCTCAAAATGAAAATTTTGTTATTATGTTAAACATAGTCCTTTGATTTTTTTTTTCTTTCTATATGTGCTAGTTACAGATGTGTCTAACTGCCTTTGAAAACAACAGTCTACATTTCAAATAATTGTTTGGCAAGTTTTGAGCATGCCATCTGATGGATACTAATTCTTCTGAACCTAAAATAGGGGCAGAAGATAACTTGCCATCCCCGCCTTCTTGGTCTTGTAGCTGCCACGCGCCGTGGGTACCCAGACATTGAGTGGCGCTGGTCTCCTCAAGATGTTCAACAAAGCCACGGACGCAGTCAGCAAAATGACCATCAAGATGAATGAATCAGACATTGTGAGTAGCCCTGTGCCTCTCGGCTTCCCCTGCCCCCTCAGTCTTATGGGTCAGAAGCCCTGAGAAATCCTGACATTTCTCAGATTAGAGACTTATCTTTTAAGGTAATTCAGTCCCTTAAGGAAACCCTGTGCTGTATGCCTATAGGATTCCCCTCTATTGAAGATCTGGACTTGTGTGTTTCAGTGGTTTGAGGAGAAGCTCCAGGAAGTAGAGTGTGAAGAGCAGCGCTTACGGAAGCTGCATGCTGTTGTAGAAACTCTGGTGAATCATAGAAAAGGTAACAACCTCGGAAATGCACTCGGAGCTGGAGATGTCTCCGGTGAGCTATAGGTGGGAGGGCATGCTGTTCCCAACCCTGTCAGCCATTCAAGTTGAAATTCTCAGCCCACCTGGTCCTTGATGTTCTCATCAAAAAGATACGCCCTGCACCTCCTGGCAGGAAACATGACTCAGCCACTGTGAGCATTGTGCCTTCTAGTTGGGAGGGGTGCAGGGGAACTGCCTCACATACAGCTTCACGTGGGACATGGACTTCAGTTGGTATGATTTGAATTGGTGGCTTATATCCAAAGTGATGTCACATACTTTAGCTACATGGTCAAATGGACAATATGTAAATTCAGGGAAACTATATATGTCTCCTAACCTTTCTTCACCTTTCTTTGGTGAGATTTGTCTAAGAGCTAGTAAAATTTGCCAAGTTTGAATGCTTTCCTTCTCTGCCTTAAACATGGTAATAATCAGGGGTACCTAGGTGGCTCAGTCAGTTAAGCATCCAACTCTTGATTTCAGCTCAGGTCTTGATCTCAGGGTGATAAGTTCAAGCCCGATATTGGGCTCCACACTGGGCATGAATCTTACTTAAATAAACAAACAAACATGGTAATAAACAGAAATCAAAACAAGCAGAAAACTGTTACAATGAAGCCATTGTGAGCATTGGCAAAATATGGCCCAGCCCATGGGCCACACCTAGCCCTAGGCCTGTTGCTGTGAGCTAGGAATGACTTTTACATTTTTAAAGGGATGAGTGAAAAAAGAAAGTGAGGCCGATATGTGATCCATAGGCTTAAATCATCTAGCCCTTCCTAGAAAAAAAGTTTGTCCTGCTTTAGGACATGTAAGACTATGCAATGTGCACGTACATTCACTCTCGTGCAAATAGACTAACAATGAGCTTTAACATAAAAATTAGAATCATTCCTTTGGCCTGTTTGTATTAACTGGCCCCTAGTTCTCCAGGAATATTGAAGCTGCTGCTTCCAAGTAGGCTAGGCCTTAACTTGGTGAAACTTAGAACAGCAGATGTCTCTCCCTGCTCGTGTGACCACACTGCACTCCCCTCACTTTTCTAAGTACAGTTGGCTGTGGTGTAAGTGACTGGGTTGCAGAGCCCACAGTTGTTAGATATGCAGAAGGCAGCATTTCTAAGGCATGCCATGCAATGCCAGCTGACTTGTCCCTTTTCGTTTTGAGATAAGAGGCCTCTGCTGTCTTCCTCCTTCCAGAGCTCGCACTGAACACAGCCCAGTTTGCAAAGAGTCTAGCCATGCTTGGGAGCTCTGAGGACAACACAGCACTGTCACGGGCACTCTCCCAGCTGGCTGAGGTGGAAGAAAAAATTGAGCAGCTTCACCAGGAACAGGCCAACAATGACTTCTTCCTTCTTGCTGAGCTCCTGAGTGACTACATTCGTCTCCTGGCCATAGTCCGTGTAAGCTTCTGTTTGCTTTCCTCTTTTTCCTCCCCTTTATTTAATTTGCCTTTGTTTTCCTTTTCCCCTTCCCAAGAAATTTTCATCCATTATAGCTGAAAGTAGGTGTAACTTTTTTCTACTCTCAAGAGAGAAGGTATCTTGTGAACCAAAAAATCCATTTTAACTTTTAGCTAGTTATCACTATGTCATTTTTGAGGCCTTATAGCCAGTTTTTAAAATGCATTTGGAGAAAAGACTACTCTTGAATTTTCAGGTAGGCCCCTCCTTATTGCTACAGCTGCACACAGTCCTCTATGCTCCTTTCTTCAAATGAGGCTTATTACAGACCTGCTGTCTTGGCCCCCTGGAGCAATGACTCCTCAGTTCTTTGGTCTTTGCCTCCTTAACAGTAAGCGGCGGCTTTGCCTTTCGTAAGAGCTCTTACTGGCTTCCACTTGTCCCTCTAATGTGGGCAGTCAGGTAACTACACGGAATCGTCTTGGCATTGCATGGAGGAGTGTGGCCACAGGGCTGAGAGAGCTTGTCACCAGAGTCCTTTGTGTGCTGTGCTGACCACACTGATAACAACACTGCAGCCTACCTCTCAGATCAAGCACCTCACCTCTTCTCCTGGTAACTGGGGCAGTCTGGTTTCCCATTTTTAGAGCAGCCGAGGCAGCTTCATTGGGCAGTGATACTAGCTCTCGCATGGTCTCCCTGAGACAGAGGAAAGAGCCAAGAGGGATCCTGGTGCCTGCCTTATAAGGGACTGAATCTGCCCCTTCTCCAGCTTGGGACCAGGATGAGCCTCTGAGTTGGAACAGAGCCACACTCACTCCCCATCCCCAGCATCTCCCGACCAGGGAGCCCCTGTGTTGTCAAGAACCAAGCTGCTCCCAGGGCTCTCATTTCCTCTGTGGCAGAGTCGCTCAATAAAGCCTGTGAGGTCGTTCATTGTCTCCCTCAGCTGTTTGGTTTGCTGCTAACTCCAGAGTGATAAGAGGCTGGAAAAATAACCTGCTTTGGAATTTGTAGAACTGGTCAGACTATGAAGGCTGGAGCACTACCTTAGGGAAGGGCCCTCTCTGGGAAAGTTTCAGAGAGGGGTATCGTTTGCAGCCTCAGGAGAGCACAGCTCTTGGATGTGACCCCCCAGGCATGAGAGAGCCCCAGCCTAGAGCTCCATGTAGGGACTGAGGCAACATGCTTGAGTGCAGAACTGCAAGCTGGGCTTTTCTTAGAGACCCTTAACCTGCCCTCTTCATAATCGTGAGAGGGTGATGGGCTGGGGAGATGAGCAGATATTTGTTTTATGCTCTTCCCTGAACCTGGAACTGTACCACCCTTAGCCCAGAGGGTTAGGCTTGAGTCTTACGAGGTTACCCTTTACCTATACTTTGACATTGAGAGCTGCTTAGAAATTGCAAGTGAACAGCAGTGACAGTCAACGCTGGGGAAGGTGAATTTGGTGGCATTTCACTCCCTAAGGTTCAAACTTTGGCAAAGGCCTGCCCTAAGGAGACCTAGAAAACATCCAGAAAACTTCTGCAGACAGCAAATTGGAGCAGGGCTGGGAGGCTGACCCCAGGTACAGATCTCTCATCCAGGCTGCCTCTTGAAGCTACTAAGCCAGTGGGGGTGGTGGATGGCTTGGTTACGCCAATAACTGTCCTCTGGAAATGTGATCGAGGGACTGGAAACGGTGAGGGGATGGGTTGCCTGGCTGGCTCAGTCGGTAGAGCATGCAACTCTTGATTTCAGGGCTGTGGGTTCGAGCCCCACGACGGGTATAGAGATTACTTAAAATAAAAATCTTTAGGGGTGCCTGGGTGGTTCAGTCAGTTAAGCACCTGATTTTTTATCTCAGCTCAGGTCTTGATCTCAGGGTCATGAGTTCAAGCCTCACATTGGGCTCCACGCTGGAGGTGGAGCCTACTTAAAAATTATAATAAAATTAAAAATAAAATAAATAAAAATAAAAATCTTAAAAAAGAGAAAAGAACTGGAAACTGGGAAAACCAGCAAGTGGACGTTGGGGAGCTTCTTGGGGGCCTTGATTTATCAGTTGAATGTATGGATGGGATGGAAGCCGTGTGTGTCCCCATGGTAGCTTCAAGTATTTAGTTAAAGACTTGTTAAGCTAATCCTGTATACTATTTGGATGTGTTAATTTTAAGGTTGCTTCCTTAGGTTGGCTTCCCTGGTATATCTCCCAGACTAAGCTAGGTCTCCAAGTTTGATATTTTGAGATAGATCTTCTGCTTGTTTACTCTGTACTCTGCATACTTGTAATTATTTATTTGCAATTATTAATATATGTCAACCTCTAACAAGCTCCATAAAAGTAGAACCACGTGTTTCATTCCCCACTGTATTCTTAGTTCCTGGCACATGGCAGGCAGGAGATCAGGAAAAGTATGTAGACCCAGAGACTAATCTGAGGGAGGCAGTTCAGAAGCCATAGAACTGGGCACTGGCATCAGGCCACCTGCTGTGCTCCCAGCCATCCAACCTTGGAAGTAGCATGAAGCAGCATGGCACCACCCCACTGGAGGCTTGGAGAGGAGTCTTACCCAAGCTTGTGCTTTTTGATGTGAAGCTTCCAGCTGGGCACTAACACACGGCTGCAGAACCTGCCCTTGGTCAGTCCTTCTCTAGCACAGCTGCTGGGAGAGAGTCCCCCTGCCCCCCAAGCCCTACCCCAGGCAGAGCCAGGGGAGCTCCTGAAGGGCTGGTTGTGCTCTTCCCTAACCCCCACCCCCACAGGCTGCCTTCGACCAGCGTATGAAGACGTGGCAGCGCTGGCAGGATGCTCAGGCGACGCTGCAGAAGAAGCGGGAGGCTGAGGCTCGGCTGCTTTGGGCCAACAAGCCTGACAAATTGCAGCAGGCCAAGGATGAGATCTTAGAGGTGAGGCACACAGGGCAGACTGGCTCCTGCATGAGCCCGGGTCCCATCCCACCCAGATGCTTGAAACCCCACAGCAGGTGAGAGAGCCGATTGAGTCTAAAGGACTGTGGCTGCTGGGGAAGCCTCTGAGAATGAGTCCAGGCTTGCTTTGAGGCCTGGCCCTTTTCCTCTCTTCCCATTCCACCCAGACTTAACAAATCAGATCCTCTGCAGGAGGGGTCGTGGGTGGGTCTGTGAAAAACTGCCAAGGCGATTCAGTATGGCAACAACTGAATTCAGTTCTCTGGAACTCCCAGCCTTTGTGGTGGGTACCTGAACCAGGGGCTTTGGGGTGCCAGAACTTTGAGACCAGGCCTGGCCTGGAGTACACAGCATCTCTTTTCCAGCCAGATGGCTTTCACCTAGACTTAGACTTACACACTGAATGTCCATATGGTTTCTAATCTTACCCAGAGGGGCAAACAGACATAATGACCAACTGAGGTCTCACATGTAGAATTGCTGTCCAAAGGTAAAGACTCAGTAATGATACCATAATATTAAGTGATCCTTTCTGTTCCCTTTCTTCCCAGTGGGAGTCTCGGGTGACTCAGTATGAAAGGGACTTTGAAAGGATTTCAACTGTGGTCCGAAAAGAAGTGATACGGTTTGAGGTGAGATAGAATATCCTACTTCTCACAAGTGTGCAGTGCCTTGTTTAGTGGTGGTGTTGGTTTTGTTCAAGTCTATTGAGTAGGGAGACCGATGAAAGTGCCAGTGACCTGGTAGCTGTGAACAGACGTGGCCGTGTGTGTGTGTGTTCACATTTATGTTCTGAGGCAGAGTGGCTGTCCTACACTTGTTGCTGGACCAGAGAAGTTAAAGCTTGCAACTTTCCTGTGTCCTCTGGTTCCCTTTTCTTTCTCCTGTCTTCCTCCACCTCCCATCCCCTGCCCACCATGCAAGAAAGCCTTGTAAGTCCTTGGCAGAAGCCATTTGGCTGGAAATTACAGCTATTCCAGCTGCTAGCTATAGTTTCTGGGGCTGTGTTTGGCCTTGGTCAGCAATAAACTCCATCCCATCAAGAGGGGTAGGAGCAACTGTCTGGATGATCAGTCTAGAATCCTGTCTCCTATAGAAAGAAAAATCCAAGGACTTTAAAAACCACGTGATCAAGTACCTTGAGACACTCCTGTATTCACAGCAGCAGGTATGTAAGTTATGCATGACTTTCATTCTCTATGCCTCCTCCAGAGGCCAGCTGCCTACCTGGGGCTTTGGTGATGGGATGGGATGGGATGGGCTGGGCTGGCTGTATTGCTCTAACATGGAGAATCTAATAGGGTCTTTTGCCAAGCAGGATATTGTAGCCCTAATCCTACAATAAGTTAGTTTTTAAGGACAAACCCTACCTCTCCCTGTAACCCCCCGTGGTACCACCTAACCCTCTTAAGGCTGAGACCCAATCATTGTATTGAACAGTGGATCCCATTGTGAGGAGCTAACTGAGCTGGGCAAAGCTGTAGCCCCCACAGGGATACTTCCTCCAGGGCAGAAGCAGGACTGTCTTTAGAGATTTCCCTTGTACTTGATGCTTCCTCTGAAGAGGGGTAAGATTGGCTGCCTGGCCAATCTGTCCCAGGGTCCACTCTCAGCCTAGCCATTTCCTCAGCTTGGCCTCAGCTCTGGCCTCCCTTTGGGTGGCTGAGACCACGGGGGAGTGCGTGGCACTGTGCTTGCTCCCCTCCCAGGCTCAGTCTCTGCCACTAGGTGGGGGCACTTGCTTATTGTCCCCACTTCTTTGCAGCTGGCAAAGTACTGGGAAGCCTTCCTTCCTGAGGCAAAGGCCATCTCCTAATGGACCAAGGACACCAGAGCCCACCTGCCTGACGCTGCCTTTTTATACACTGTTCTCCACCTCCGCCGGACTCCAGTGATGCATCCTGCCTAGCCTGGACTTTATCCCTTCTTCCCTGCCCCCACGACCAACCTGTGCCCATTCTAACCATTACTTCATTTAGCTTCCATATATATTTTCTTACCTGAGAGAATAGTTTCTTGCTTTAAGCAAAAGACCTACACTAGGTGGTGGAGTTAGGGGATAGGGGTGGAGTATTGATATAAATATATAAATACAAATGTATATTTTTCAGGATGTGGTTAGGAACTGGGAATAACGTTTTCTGTTACTCCTGATGGTGCCATGAAAAGATTATGTAATAAAATATTTTAAAATCAGGTCACGTGACTCGGAATGGTGGTGCTTTTTGCTTTAGGCTGGGGAGCAGTTGGGAAACAGGTCCAGAATACTCCGAACAAAGAAGTTGCCCAGGTATAGTAAGTTTCTCTCCACAGGAGTTTAAGCTTTTGCTGCTGCTTCCCTATGGGACTAGAATTTCTTTTTTTCTATCTACCTCTGCTACGCACTCTGAGGGTCTCTTAACCTGTTTAATTCTTATTCCTACTTTTTTAGGGAAGGAGTTGTAAAGACATCTCTTATAGTAAGAGGGACAATGGATTCTCCTGCGAAGGAGGCTGACTTTCTTTTATTCCTACCCTGTTTCCCTTAGCTGCCCAGGGCTCTCTCAGTCTTGCCCTCTGATAGCAGACTTCTGTTCTGAACTTCTTTCTGCCAAGTCCCCAGTAGACCGATTCCTGTTAAAAGTGTAAAGAGCTGATAAGGACTTAACACTTTATCTCCGTTGAGAACAGAGCCAGCACTTTGCCTCTAGATCAGGTCATCCAAGAGTTCCTAAACTTTTTGAGGTTCCAAGAAGCTTTACTCTCTGTGCCCAGGAGGTAGCATGCCAACAACAGGGCCCGAGTGTTGTCAGCTTAGGCCAAGGGCGTTCAAAGGGGTCTCTGTCCTGGCCTGGCCAGGGAGACTGGAGTCTCACATGCGCTGTTGCTGGGCTTCCCCTCAGCTGTGTCCACAGCTGCTTAAGCTGGCTGATCAGAATGGTCTGTGAAGCTGCTCTGTGGGGCAGGGTTGGCAGATTGCCTGCCATGGAACCTCGCCACTCCTGTCCGCCACCCCCCAGCCCCAGAGACGCCCCTTTCTGTGGGCATTCCAGGCCTGCTCTGTTAGTTCTCTTGGGTGGGTGGTTAAGGTTTGGGGAGGGACAGCCTGAGGCAAGAGAATGCAGTAAACAGCACTGATTTCCAGTGCACCAGCCTGGTAGGGGCAGGGATCCAGGGTGGGGGGGCAGTGCTGGCAAGTATTTTTTTCAACAGTTGGGTGTTGTGTTTTGTTTTGTTTTAGAAAAAGTCACTCAGTCTCTCCCTGTCCCCCAATATCTTTATTAACACTCTTGATTTTTTTCCTTCCAGTCTTGCGTTTGCTTTTGCACAGTTGTAATAATACCCACGTGAAATATTTTGTATCCTTTTATCATTCAGCACTGTATATTTTGTAAGCATTTCTTCTTTATTGTTACATATCTTCACAAACTTTATTTAGAAGGCTGTGTAATTTTAAGGCTTCCACAGAGTGCTTGTACCATAATTCGGACTCATCCCTTGTTGTTGGATTCTTGGTTGTTTGGTAAATTTTAAATTTTAGTATAATTTAAATCTTCTAGAAAAGTTACAGGGTATCACGAAGAATTCCCATCTAGCCTCTACCCAGATTTACCAGGTGTTTGCATTTTACCTTATTTGCTTTGTGATTTATTATCTATATTTACATATTGTATTTTCTGAAGCATTTGAGAGTAAATTGCAGACATTGTGCCCCTTTACCCCCAGATCTTTAGTATACATTTCCTTAAGAACAAGGACATCTCTCATAATTTACAACCATAAGTATGTTTATCAAAATCAGGAAGTTTGACAGTAAACTAATACTGTTACATAACCCATGGTCCGTATTTAAATGTTGTCAGTTATCCCAGTAGTAGTGTCCTTTATAGCTATTCCCTTTTTCCTGGTTCAGGATCATGTGTTACCTTTAGTTGTAACGTGCGATCACTTGTGTCTCTCTTAATCCAGAAGAGTTTCTCAGCCTTTCTTTGCCTTTCATTACCTTGGCATTTTTGAAGAATATAGGCCAGGTATTCTGTAGAATATCTCTTGACTTGGATTGGCCTCATGGTTCCGTGTGACTATATTAGGGTTTTGCAATTAGGCAGGAACATCACAGAAGTGATGCGTCCTCAGAGCATTTTAAGTTGGCACATGATGTCGGTCCCGTTAATGCTTAAGTTAACTCTGATCGCTTGATTACTATTTTCCCCTTTGTAATTGACAAGAAATTTGTGGGGAGGTACTTTGAGATCATCTAAATACTTTGTTCCTTCTCCAGTGTGCTTTTCTGGCTCCATAATCTGCATTTACTGGTTGGCATTCTACTAAAGAAAAACATCCGTTCTCTCTACTTAATAATCTACTTGTTTATCAGTATGCATGAATGGATTCCTATTTTACTCAAAGTGCATTGCAAGCCCTTGCTTTGATTTACTTTGATTCTCAAATCATCCCAGATGATTTTTTTAACCTGTCCCCTTCATTTTTTTTTTTTTTTAACACTTTTCTTACTTTCTGGCATAATAAAATGTTTCAGGCTTCTCCTGTGTCTTCCTTGCCCCAGCTCTGGAATCAGCCATTTCTCCACAGAGTCCTGATTTCTTTTAATGGAGAATTAAATATATATAGAAACCAAGATCTGCGTGCTGAGCGTGCTCATTGCTTCTGCAGTGTCATTGCTTCTAGGCTTTTGGCAGAGCAGGAAAGTAATGAAAGACAAAGATATATAGCAGTAGCAAGAGAGAGAGATGACATAAAGAATTAGATATTAGAAAGCATGAATTCACACAGATCCTTACAGTCTAACCCCATTGGGTTTATCTAAGTCTTCTCCCTTTTCCATACTTGTAACTCTTCTCCAAAGAAACTTAATTGTAAAACTTTATCCTTGCTTTGTTATATTCCATCCTGTGATCATCTTGATGCAAGTCTATTATTTCCTTGGGATGGACTGTGGTTTCAGAACTTCCTCCTTAGCATCTGGCACTGGAGGCTGACAGGCCTGTGCATTTCTGTACAGAGCTTGCACACATGGAAACTGAGAAAGCAAACAGGTTAAGGGTACTGAGCCCAAGGCCTGCACGGTGGTACAAAAGATAGAGTCATTCTACCTGGGGCCTCAGGAAGAAGACGTTTGTAGAGAAGAGGATGCTTGAACTGTGGCTTAAAGGTGAAGAGGCGTTTGCCCCTTCTGCTGAGCCCATTCTACCTCCCTGTCTCTTGACAGTGGGAGGTAGGCATCTAGGGAAATGTAGGTGGCTTGGTATGGTGTGGGTCAAGTCATTGGGCAGCCCACAGAGAGTGACAGATAGGAACCAGATCACACTGCTTGATACAACTTGTGAAGCACTTGGCACAATTACCCAGAAGGGTGGGGACCCACTGAAGGGACTCAAGCAGGGAATAACATGTTCACATTTGTGATTTAGATGCATCAGACTGGAGGCAAGGAGAGCAGCCATGTTCATCCCAGCCAGCCAGATTGCTGAGGAGGACAGAAGGGATGGTCTCTTGGAGAGGCTCAGAAGGTGGACGTGGAACCACCGGACACCTGGTCACTGATCTGATGAGAGGCCTGAGGGATGAGCTAGCCTGACTTGCAGGTTTCTGGCTGGAATTTCGGGATAGACAGTGAAGAATACTTAGCAGGGAAGATACCATGATCATGAAGGTGGTTTCCCCCAGGGCAAGGCTTATCCACTGCACTCTGGATGTGCTGACCCCTGCGATTTCCCCAAAAGTGGGGAACTCGACTGCATAATTTGTGGTAGTGGGGGACTGCGTTCATGCTTCCCCCTAGGAGGGGGCGGTGGGGGAAGGATAGACAGTGAAGGGAGCCCTTAATGACACAGGCAACACAAGGCCAAGTAGGTTTGGAGCAGATGGGAGCAGAAGCCGTCAGTGCTGCCTGTGTCATGTAGCATAAGAGGCTCCTCTGAATGGGAAGGGAGGCCCATGCTGAGAGGTGGGAGAGAAACCTAGTGAAAGGAGGCTTTGTTTTATTTAAAGGTGGGTCAGACTTGGCATCTTAATAAAATTCAGAGGAGAGAAAGGGAATTGCCATCAGAGCTGTGTCTGGGGACAAATGCACAGAGCAGGGAGCCTCACTGCCAAGCAAGGAGGCATGGGGAAGGAAGACAGGGTGGGGCGGAGAATATAGGTCTCCTGCTTGGTAATTAAAGTGTTCTCAAATAGAGATACCTGGTTTTCCTATTTTGAGTCAAGTGGTTTAGAGAAGAGGTGTGGAGACGAGTCTGTACTTCCCTACTTACCCATGCATTATTTCCCCAAAGAATCTCTGGGCTTCAGAGTCTAGAGCATGAAACTTTGAGCTGGAGGGACCCCAGCATTCAATATGAGTACTGAGTGACAGATTAAATGAGAAGTGGGAATGATAGAAAGTGTCACGCATAGGTGTTTGTAACTTTGAGCTCTTTCCAGAAGACTTTCATTCTGAGTGCACCTATAGCTGGGAACCATAAAGAAAATAAAGAATACCTTTGCAGCTTAAAGTTTAAAAACCAAGAGATGATAATGAAATCTGCTAAGGATGGGACCAGGAAGTGATTGAAGAGAGAGCATGGTGATGGAGGAGTGTCCTTTGCTGAGCATGGTTATGGCCCAAATGGGAGTGGAAACCATGGATTTTGAGGGACATCAGGTCCCAAAGTGGTGGAATTTTCTCCACAGCAGCCTAGGGGAGCAGGAGGAAAGGGGAAGATGATGGTGATCCCTCCTGGAGCAAAGAAGAACAGACCTTTGCTGCAATTGTCATGCACCTGAACTGAATGCCCTGTCTTTGGAGACACTGGCTAAGTGTCTTGGGGAGAGACACTCCATGACTGGGGAGAGTCGGGCCCGAGCTGAGAGTTAGAAATGGGTAAGAACCACTCATCCGTGTCTACTGGCCATGGGAAGGGTGTGTGCGTCATCTGCCAACGTCTTGTGGCACCAGATGTGTGGTTGATTTTGGCGCTCTCTGCCAAACGGTCAACTCTCCGAAGTGGTACGTCTTTGTCACTCCATGATCTCCAGCAAAGATTTGGGCTCAAAATAGGCACCAGATAGATCAAGGTTGAATGATCTCCAACTGCAGGTTCTGCCACCTGGCACTCCCAGTGTTCTCTGAGAGGATTCCCGCTCGCTTTCCTGTTTATGTCCTAGCACTTCACAACAACGCCCGACCCCTGACAGAAACTGCCCGCAAACATGCTCATGCTCTTTGCTTCCTCAGTTCTGTGCGGCCCAGGCCTAAGGAGCCTTTTGTTAATGGTGGGCTTTGTACCTGACATGCCCTGTCTCGGTTCCCATCCCTCTCTTCAGTCTCAGAATTACACCTGTCTGAATGGGAGTGGAAGTAGATGGAGATGGAAGGCACTGGTAAACGTGTCGGAACATTCACAGGGGATTCCTGTAGACACGTCTAGAAACCAAGTCCATGAAGAAGCCTGTGCAAAGGGGCCCATCTTAGCAAGGTGTATGGTTGTAAAAATTGAAATCAATCTCTGTACAGCAGGAAGGGATTAAATGAATTATGGTACATAATACGATTGGGTGTGCAGTCATTGGAGATGATACATAGCTATATTCATTGACAAGGAAAACGTTTTTAAGTGAAAAAAGTAGGCTATAGAATTACATGTATAGTGTGGTGTAAGTTTATATAAAACTATATATATGGAACGAATGTTGATTGAATTGTTAACTATGGTTGCCCTAGCAGGATGGAATTCTGCATTATTTAAAATTTTCACAGTATTTTATGTTGCTTGGAATTTCTATGTATTTTTATGATCATAAAAATTAAATAAAGTGTTTTCACTATGGGAAAAAAAATGCAGTGCATCCTTTGAGGCCTACTCTCTATGTACCTTCTCTGGGAAGCTTTCTTTGAGGCACTTTCCATTCTACCCCCAGACTGGAACGGGAGACCACCTCCTCTGTCGCTGTGTCAATCCTCTTAAACCTCTGGTCTTTCTCACCCTGTGTGCATTGTTATCTCTGAGATGATCTCATTAGCCTCTGGGGTTCTGAACTCCTTCAGATCATGGACTGTATTGTTCCTACCTATCTCCATGCTCCCTTCCACCCACAAAGGCAGCCTAAGGGGGCAATGGCTGCCATTCGGCTCTGGTGATTATTGTTTTAGGAGCCTGTGGGCCCAGATCTTGGGGGTTTTGAAGACATTCAGAAATCAGGCTTGATCTGGGGTTTGGTAGGCCGTGCTGTGGTTGGCAGGAATGGTGCTCCATCTTCCAGGGGAGGCCTGCAGGCTGGGAGGTGATAGCCACCTGCCCCAAGGCTTGCCTCAGCCAAGATTCCTCCCCTTTGCCCTCCTCGGTTGTGGAAATGCCCCTCTGGCTATGATGGCCAAACCTCTGGGGCAGAAAACACCACTCACCCCCAAGGCTGGTCCCAGGGAGCCAGGTGCACAGCCTCCATAGGATGCATTTTGGGTCCAGAAAAATCACAGAAAAACCATTCAATCTGAGTTAGGACCTTTCCCTAAAGGGATGTGACCATTGTTTCCAAATCACTACCCCCCTCCTAGCTTCAGAGGTCTCAGCTTCCTCTTCCATTTTGAGTGGCAGCAGTGATGACCATAGGGGCCCAACCAGCAGGTCTCCGCACAGCCTCACCAGAAATAATAAGGCACCTGGCAGGTGGAACAAGTGTGGGGGCAGGATAACCCCTTCCCACCGAGGGGCCTAAGGATAAGGGCTGTCATGTGTTAAACACCTACTCTGTGCCTCTGGGCTCTGAAACATATCTGGCACCAGAGAACTTCCAGGTAGTAAAAGACTGAGGCTTTGAGAAATTAAGCAATTTGCCCAAGGTCACCCCCCGCACACACACCCCCCCCCCCCTGCCCGGGAGAGCTCTGAGGTTAAAACTTGAACCCAATCTGCTTGACTCAGCTTGTCTGCCACACCATGTCTCACACATTCTAGACAGGGATGGACAAGAGGAACCTAGATATTAACCCACTAAGTTGTTTTCTTAAAGACTTGAATAAATTCACACAAGAGACCTGTTAAGGACATGTCACCCACCTGGCCTCATAGGCTTGTGAGCTTCTCTGACCCCTGTGAGATCCTCTCTCCCCAGACAGGCACAGTGTGTGGCCCAGTTGGGGAGCAGGAGCAGAATCTGGAAGACAGGAGCAGCTTGGGTGAGTACCTGGGGACCTTTTGCGGCAGAGACTAAAACCTCCACTTGCTGAGAGACCTGAGACAGAACCCAGAGCTAGAATGGGAGGTGGGAGCATCTCAGTTCCAGACCTCAGGGCCTGGGGTTGCGGCCCCTCCCGGCCTCTGGCCTGGCTTTCCACTTGGCCTCAGTTCTTGGTCTCACAACTCTTCACAGTAAACCCCCGTGACCTGAGGGTTCCTGAGCACATCTTTGTTCCTTGAACCTCAGTGCTGGGCACATGAGGGGGGCCGAGTGGTTGGTTCCCTGACATAGTCATTCTAGGGGTGTTGGGAGTCGCTGTAGCGCCAGAAAAAAATCTCCTTGGGAAGCTGTGCAGCCTTGGATGGCAGGTGGCTGGGGTGGCCTCTGCCAGCTCCCTTTGCTCCATCCCTGGGTCATGTCTGAAGCAACTGAGCTGTCCTTGTCATCTGGAAGGGGGAACACTGCTGGCTGGAGCCCCAGGGCTAGAGCCTGTATGTCCCCTGAGAAGCTGGTTACCAGCCTACCCTGAGCCAAACTTTGCTTTTGGGGCTCTGGCGGGACCTGTTTGTCAAAGGTGCCTTCCTAACACAACCTTCCCCTGGAGGCTCACTTCTCCTTCCTCACACCTCAGTTTCCTCATCTATAAGATGAAGAGTTTAGACTTCTTAATAATTTAAGATGTTTGAGAAGAACTATTTTCTCAGACATCTACACCAAAGTTCAGTATTCAACATAAAGGTACTGTGTTGTGTTTTTTTAACATTTATTTATTTATTTATTATTTATTAATTAATTTATTTATTTATTTAATTTTGAGAGAGAGTGAGCATGAGTTAGGGAGAGGCACAGAGAGAGAGAGAATTCCAAGCAGTGTCAGTGCAGAACCCGACCACGTGGGGCTCAAACTCATGAACCATGAGATCATGACCTGCACTGAAATCAAGAGGGGGATGCTTAACTGACTGAGCCACCTAGGTGCCCCGGTATTTCGTCTTATTTTATTATTCAAAATTGGAAGATGTACTCATTAAAAAGGCAATCAGTAAGAAGTCAGAGGCTGTTAGGATGAACAGGATAGTTGCTAATTTACACCAAACTCTGCTTCCAGTTGATTCTACCTTTTTTTGGGTTGCACAATATGGACAAGATCAGGAAAATTATGATCACAGAGTTAGTAGTTAAAATAGTTCATTTTTTAAGCTAAGCCTGCAATCTCAGGATACTGAAAGAGGAATAGTAAAGTTGTGTTATTTTAAAGTTGAATCAGCAGCAATATATTAGGTTGGACCATATATAATTGCCAACAACCCGCCGTTTTGACTTAGGGCAAATTCTTTTAATTCAGTAAATAATAATAGCTGACATTTATTTACTGTGTGCCAGGCCCATGCACTTTGGAAGCATGATCTTTCAATCCACACACAGCGCTCTGCTCTGCTGATAAGGACCCTGAGCGAGGGCAGCTGTCTGAGCTTGCCCGGGTGACCTTAGCCTCTGGGTGACGCCATCCTGGCGACCTTGCTCTGGCAGTGCTAGGTTGTTGGGCCCCCCTCGGTCTAGTCTGCCTCCTCCCACCGCTGCCGGCCAGGCCAGGTCGAGTCCGGCAGGAAGAATCCAGCTTCTGTGCCTCGGCGGCGCCCACAAGCCCAGGAGCTGTTTGTTTCTTAAACGGGTTAACCACCTCCTGAGCAGCGTCCAGCCTGCCTAGTGAACGCGGCTTTGCGTGCCTGTGCGGAGGGCCCCCGAGGGCCAGGGCCCAGCCACCGCGGGAGCTGTGGTCCGTCCCACCTGCCCCGCCCCCACCCAGAGAGGCTCACCAGATCGAGCCCAAGAGGGGAACACCTTTGCCCCCAGCCCTTGCTGCCCTTTGCTTGGCCACCATCCTCATCTCCAAGAGCTGGCGTGGGAGTCAAGAGACTGGTGTCTACAACGTGGTCCTCAACCCGGAGCAGCTCTGGTACAGGGGAAGTTGTGAAAACCTGCACACGATGAGGCTCCATGCCAGGCCCAAGCACTCAGGAAACTGGGCTCAGAGCCCTATTTGAGATTTAACAGGACTTGTAGGTGATGATGATGCCTGCGGAGGTTGGAGAACCACCGCTCTATAATCTGATCTGGAAATACTTTGGCCAAGTTGGTGTGTGACCGACCAGTACTTTTAAGCCCCCTTCCCTTAGAAACTTGGAAATTAAAGTCATGTGTTAGAGAGTGATGGAGAAAAGACAGAGGCTTGCACACTAAAACTCATTCTAAAAACAAGTCACTTTGAGGGTCTACATAGTGGGTGGGACTCAGCTCAGTGTTCATAGACTGAGTGGGCCAGTGCTTACAGCATACAGAAAATAAGTTTTCCTTCGATTATAACAAGTGCTTTGGAGTTTACATTATGTCACGTATTCCCCTTTACAGGAAAATATTCTCCATAGCTTGTTTTATCTCCCCAAAGACATCCCAAAATGTCTGCAAGTCAAGGATCTTGTTTTTCTTCATTTGGATCTTCACTCATGGCCACGGAACACTGAAGAATCAGGAGCTGCAGGTTTCCTACCAGATGTTTTGTAAGTCAGGTGCATCAAATCTCCCTGTATAACTGGTGTTGGGAATCCATTAATTTGAGGCGTCTCAGGAACACCTGAAAACTAAGCATATAAACGAGGTGTGTTCAGCGGTCTGCGACGGAGCGACCATGAGAGGTGTCCGGATCTGAAGGTGGGCAGAGGATTCCTGTTGTTATTCCTCTAACTCCTCCCTTCCTGCCTCTCTCCCAGGCCTTCCCTCCTCTCCCCAGCCTCTTCCCCACATCTCCTCCCCCGATTCAGTCAGAAAGGCTTTCAACCAACAAATGTTTGAGCGTCTCTTACATTCTTGGTGCCAGGGCAGCAACCACTGACAAGACATTGGCCTGATGGCCCTCAGAGCCTGGGGCAAAGTCGGGAAAACCAGGGAGACCCACAATAAACAAACAGTAACTACGTAACTAAGTGCAGACACAGGGTGATATGATAGGGTAAGTGGACAGGAAGGAAGGTCTCTTTGAAGAGGTGAGTTTTAGGCCAAGAGCTGGAAGTTCTAGGCTAAACCCACCAGGTGAGGAGTCACAGCAGGCACAAAGGCCCTAAGGCAGGAAAGAGCGAGTTGGGTTTGAAGAACTGGAAGGTCACTGGCTGGGGCCTGGTACACGAAGGGGAAGGAGAGGAAATGAGATGAGAGGTGGAGGCTGGGCTAGGTCACTTAGAGCTCTGTAGATTGTGGTAGGGAGGGGATGTTTTCTTCAAAGTACAACACGAAAGAAGCCTTCATAAGGTTTGAAGCAGTTGCTTTGATGGTGGTTTGTGCTGCTAGGTAGACAATGGACCTTGTGTGAGAGAGGGAGCCAAGGAAAAACAGGGAGATCGATTAAGAGATGTAGCAGTTTTCTAGATGGTAGGGCAGTCATTAGGACAGGTGACCGAGAAGCTTAGAGGTCTGAGGTCCTGGGAGAGAACCCCTTGGTCAGTAGACAAGGAGAACAGGGTCTTTGAGTGTGGGGGCTCCAAAGTACAAGGAAATGAAATCTCAGCACTTCTGTTCACAGTGGGTGGTTTCCCTTCCGGGAAGTTTCACCTTCCTGATTCTGGGGCTTTTGTGAGATGGAACTTGGGGGAAGAAAGCGTGGGGCATAATATTGGTGAGACCTGCTTGCCTTCTTTGGGGTCACCCTCTCACCTTCTCTCTAGGGGCAGAACTGGGTGGGGGGTGGGGAGAGATTCTGCTCCAGCTCAGAAGCACCTCTGCACTAGCAGGGGAGGGAGGGAGTCAGTGATCCCCCCAACTGCCAGCCTCTACCCCTAAGACAGGTGCTCTGTTTCCTCCTTCCCACCTTGAGGCCTCCAGCCCTCCCTCCCTCCACTGTCTGCTCGGGCCTTTGTTGGGGGAAGTCAGGGGAGTTGAGGACTCTGTTGAATGGGACAGATCTCTTATGGCTGAAGTGTAGGGGGGCTTAGTAGGGGGAGCAGAGGCCCTTTCTAGCCCAAGGGGTCAGAGAGTTCTGGATTAAATCCTGCCACATACCCAGGAAGGCCCTGCCCAGAGGGGTGGGCAGTAGCAGCCTAGTGCCATCTCCCACAGTCCCTCTTCCCCGTTTATTGCCCTGTACACACACCACCTACCTCTGCCTCCAGGACAAGCCCTCAAGCTGCCAGTTTGTCAGCACCTGCTATGCTGAGGGCTTAACAGGGATCATCTCCATTTCCATACACCCTCCTTAGGCATAGTATTCAATTTTGCAGATGAGAACAGGTCTACACAGTTCAGGAAATCCAAGCTATCTGACCCTCAAAGCAGAGCTCAGGTCCCTAAACTGCTTCATCCAGGCAAACTGGATCTGAAGAAGGTTGGGGCTGAAAGATGAATGAATGAATGAATGAATGAATGCATGCATGCATGAATGAATGAAATGAAGGGGCTTGTGGATGGTGGGAGAGGTGGACATCAAAGAGAAATTGGCCCAAGCCCTCCCCAGGCGTGGCCGCGCTCCCAGGGTCCAGGTGAAAGGTGGAGGAAAGGAGATGGGCGGCAGCCTGGTCTAGGGGAAGGGTGTGAGGATCTCAAAGAACATCCTTGATTGGCCCCCAAGGTCGGCGCCTAGGTCTGGGCCCCGCGTCCCTTCCTGCCGAGCGCCCACAGGCTCTAGTCCTTACTAGGCGCTCAATAAAAAGTAGGTGAAATTTTGGCTCGTCTACGGCTGTTAGCGGGCACTCAGAAAATGTTGACAAACGGCTGGCTCTCCGCCGCTGAAGGGTCCCCACCTGCGGCCCACTAGACTCGAGGGGCGGTATCCTGGCCCACCTCCCCCCGCGCTGCCTAATCAGCCCCTCGCAGGACTCGGCGGCGCGAGGGAACGCCCGGGGCGGGGCCAGCTTGGGGCGGGGCCTGCGAGCCCGAGGAGGAGGGGCCGGGCCCGCTGGGGTCGGTGATCTACACCCGGAGAGTTCGCGCTCCGAGCGTTGCGCTCGGAGGGGCTCGAGCCGTGGCGCGGATGCTGGAAGTTCACATCCCGTCTGTGGGACCTGAGGCCGAGGATCCCAGGCAAAGCCCAGAGAAAGGCCACATGGTGAGCGGGGGGCAGTGGATGGGAAGGTACGCGGGGACCCGCCGGGCTCCCCCGCGCCGAATGTAGTGGGGACCCCGCGCCTGGGCTGGGGCGTCTGAGCGCGGCAGGTCAGGCCGTCAGAAGACGGCCTGCCGAGGGTCTCGGGCCGCTGGGATGTGCCAGCTCCGTGGACGGCGGTCCAGGTTCACAAGGGACTGCAGGGAACTGAGGGGAGGCTCTGTCTTCCCCCTTTCCTAAACGTGTGAGGAGCGTGGGAGGGTTTCCGGAGAGTGGCTGGGTTCCTAGGCCGCTTGGTGCGGGAGGGTGGGCGTGTTGTGGGCGCGGGTCCTGCTGAGCCCTCCTGCGGGGCCTCACGCGCACCTGGCCGCTCGCCCGCGCCCGCCAGGTGTTCCGAGTGGAAGTACTGTGCCGCGGGCGCAGGCACATCGTGCAGAGGCGCTACAGCGAGTTCCACGCGCTGCACAAGAGGGTGAGGCTCAGCCGCCGACTCCCCGACCTCGGCCTGGTTCCTGCCCACCTCCTGGGAGACGAACTGCGGCCCCAGTCTCTGCCACCCCCGTTACCGCCCCAGTTCCTGTCCTGGGCACAGACCTCCCTGCGGGCTGCGGGGTGGGCGCAAAGGGGCAGGGTGCAGCCTGTACTATGGGTGCCAATGTGTGGCCGGCCAGACCTCGGGCTTTTGGGGGAGGAGGGTGTTGGGGCCTCTCTCCACCCTGTCCCAACCATCACTCATTAGGGTCTTGGAGGTGGGGGCGGGGAGGCCTGGGGAGAGACTCTTGGCTAGGCCGAAGTGAGCTTGAGGGCTCAATCAGGATGCTTTGATGGCACCGCGGTAACGTCCTGGCAGATCAAGAAACTGTACAAAGTGCCCGACTTCCCCTCAAAACGCCTGCCCAACTGGAGGACCAGAGGACTGGAGCAGCGGCGGCAGGGCTTGGAGGCCTATATCCAGGTGTGCATGGGGTTCACTCTGCTGCCCCCAGCCTGCTGGAGCAGAGGTGCGACCCAGAGGGAGAGGTGCGGGGGCATGGAATGAAGGAGACCCACATCTTAAGCATGTTATTTACTACCCCAAGCCTCAATTTTCTGAACAGTAATGGGTCCAAACAGCCCTTTCAGTACTGATAGAAGGGAATGAGGTAACACGGAGGCAGGTGGTTTCAGTTCACTGAAAGCTAGCTCTCTTCCCTCCAGGGTGAGAGCGTGGTGTGCTACCCTCAGTGATGAGGATTTGGGTGGAGACCCCTCTCTTCCCCACACAGTGATGCCAGATTATAGGCCAGGTTGGCTTCCTGGGCATACGACCCATGTAGTTACTCAGGGCCCAGGGCTCAGAAGGGCCCAAACTTGGTTTAATGCTCTGCTCTGGCTTAGTCATTTGGGAAGGCCCCCATCGTTTCCATTTTGCACTGGGCTCTATGTTAAATAGCTGGGTCTGATTATAGGTTTCCTCTGTTCTCCTCCCCAGGGTGTCCTGTACCTGAACCAGGATGTGCCCAAGGAATTACTGGAATTCCTGAGCCTTCGGCACTTCTCCACAGACCCTAAGGCTAGCAACTGGGGGTGAGCACCTCTAGGGGCCATGGCCAGGCAAGAGAGAGGGGCCCTAGTGTTGAGGGGACAGGGGCTCCCTGAAGTAAGCAGGTGAGGCAAGGTTTTGGAGGCAAAGGCCTGATTGTTCCTTGAGATATGGCCTCCCTCATTAGCTTTCTTGCTCTGGGCAGAGGGACTGTTTTCTGGACCGTCTTGGTTTACCCCAGCTACCTCCGGAACTGAGCTTGTTACAAATAGAAGTAGTGGTCCCGTGGGAGGTGTGGTGCTGGGCTTGCGTGTCTCCACCCCTTCCTCACGCGCGCGCGCCTCCCCCCAACTCCTAGCCCGACAGCCGCTCACAGCGGGTCTCTTCTTTTCAGCGCCTTGGGGGAGTTCCTGCCCAAGAACAGCAGGCAAGTGGAAGCCCCACCCCCCCCCCCCCCTGCCCCCAACTCCCCGCCCGACTCAGGCTGCCCCCTAGTGGCCTTGTGCCTGCTGGTGTCTGGCCTCTCGCAGCAGTCCAGGTATCTCTGTTGGTGCCTCCTGAGACCACTTCTCACTCACCTTCCCTTTTTGGGTGCTTGGTGATCTTAATCCCTAGTCTCCACCTGATAGGAGACCCTGCCCCTGCCTTGCCTCTCCTTCCACTGTTATGACTCTCCTCCCCTACCCCGCCCCCCCAGCTCCCAGCTCCACCACCGGCCTGTCATCAGCTTCTGCATGGATCCCTACGTTTGCATTCCATCCCCAGGTGAGGGGTGGGGGGATGGGCTCTGACCTATAATCTAGATTTCGGGCCTAGGTAGCAGGGTGGGAGTCAGGGGTGAACTTGCCATTTTTCAGCTCAGGACCCCCAGGCACTATCTCCCTCCTCATGCCCTCCTTTGGGGCGACACCTATCCTGCTGCTCCTATAGCCTGCTTTCTATTCTCATTCAGGAGGCAGACATGGTGAAATCAACTTGGCTCTCCTGGTCTCCATTCTTCACCTGCTTGGCTTTACCAAGCTCTTGTGAACAGGATGTGAGCCAGGAAACCCAAGGCCCCATTTGGGGTGGCCAACTGTTGTTACTTCTGGCCTTGGTGGGGACTCCTGCTCCTGAGGAGGGGGCTGAGCCTATGGACGCAGGGGCTCTAGGAGCTGCAGGCCTGAGGCTGGGCCTGTTCTACATCAATTTCTCTGTGGTCTCCTACCCCTTCCTCCCTTTTTCCTTCCGTCCCACAGAGCCTCTGTCCAACATGGTGGTGAATGGCGTGCTCCAGGGCCTCTATGGCTTCAGCACCAGCTCAGCTAAAGCCCAGTCCGAGGCTCCCTGTCACCCTGCTCCTTTGCCACCGATGCCCTGACCAGCCCAGAGGTCTGTGGGCCACCTGCCAGGACAGGCATGTGCCTCAGTGTATGAGCCCCCTTCTCAGAGGCTGGGTCCCCCTTGGCCCGGACCCAGGATTTAACCACCCCAGATGCCAGGGCAGGGACAACAGGGGATAAGGAATAAAGGGAGAAGTCCAATTTAGAGGTAGGCTTTGAAAAGAGACTGGTATATTTCTTCACCTACCCCAGAAAGGGGCAGGAGACAAGCAAAGGTTGAGGCACAGTAGTGGCAAAGGTTAGAAACAAGGAGTAAAAGCTCCTGCTTGAAACTTTATAGGCAGTGTCTAGAGAAAGGGGTCAGACCAGAGCCTCAGATGGGGACAGGCACCCCCTACCCCAAGAGTCCCAGACCTGCTGGGACAGAGACTTGAGCAGGTGTTGGAGGCCCAAGAACTCAGCCCACACTGGTTTAAAAAAAAAAACAAACCACCTTTTTTTTTATTGGTCAGCATGGATAGGAGTTTGTTACAAAACCGGGCCTGGAGGCCTATGGAATGGGAGGGGAGGAGTCCACTCCGTCAGATGCCAGCACTAGGGCCAGTGCAGCATGGAGCCGTGTGGCGGGCCATCTTTACCCACCTACCCCACCCCCTCCCTGGAGGGCAACAGGGCCACACAGATGGTGGCTCAAAGGGAAGAAGTCCCTGGGGGCCTACTCCTTGGCGATGGCAAAGGGCTTCTCCACCTCGATCTTGCCACAGTCTGCGATTGTCACATCCTTCAGGGGCTTGTCCCGACTGTCTGTCTTGGTGCTCTCTACCTTCCGCACTACCTCCTAGAAAGGAAGGCAGAAGCAGTAAAGCAGAGGTCAGGAGGTCCCCCTCTCAAGGGAGACAGGCCTCACAATATGGCCAGGGAGGGATGAGATGCCCACATGAATAGCATGCCAAGCTCCAGGCACCAAAATCCTAATAGAACCATAGCCAGGTGACAGGGCAGAGAGAACCCAGAAAATGCAATAGTTTTGATCCCTGAAGTACGAGCCAGGCTGAGCTAAGGGCAAGGAGGAAGAAAAAGGTGGCTGGGGAGTGGGCACCAAGTGGCTTCTCAGGAACATCATGTTAAGCCATGTCCTGTACAAGTCAGGGTGGTGCCTGCACATCACTAGGTGAAATGGAGGCACCTGCACCTGTACAGCCTCAACAGGCCTCCTCCCGAGCCTGTGCCTGGAGCTGGAAGAATTGAGAACTTGGGGGCATAGAGTAGCAGGGTAGTTCTTAATTCCCCCCAAGTTTGTAAACATGAACACTGGTGTGAATCTGGGTCCCCTTTTGGGAAAACGATAAAATATACGGTGCTTTCCTGATGAGAGCTGCCCAAGTTTAGCCCCTGAAACTCACCATGCCTTCCAGAACTTTGCCAAACACTACGTGCTTGCCATCTAGCCAGGCGGTCTTAACCGTAGTGATGAAGAACTGGGAGCCGTTGGTATCTTTGCCTGCATTGGCCATGCTCACCCAGCCAGGCCCGTAGTGTTTTAGCTTGAAGTTCTCATCAGGGAAGCGTTCACCATAGATGCTTTTACCTGGGAAGAAAGAGTAGGTCAGGGAGCTGGGTAGGCCTAAACCAAGCAGATCTTTGGGGTGAGGATGCCAGGGACTCAACCTGACCTCTGTGCCAGGCCAGGCTCAAATGGATTATAAGGACATAAAAGCTGTGCTCTTCCTACCCTCTGGTCTTGGAGCCAAATCATGCTGACAGACCAAGTGGGGCACGATGCCAGGCTGATTTAGTGACAGCTCACCTGATCGATTACTTTGAGAATAGACTTTAGTGGCTTTTAAATAAGGCACAGATCAACAGCTACCCTTAGCTATGGCCTGAGAGGTCTGCCATAGGAACTTTGAGGGTCTTTGGTGGAGAGAGGTGCTGTGCAGGGGACATGGGAGGGAAAGAGCTCTCCAGAAGAAGAGGACAGCTTTTGTTCCTAATGGCACAAAAGATACTGAGAGGAGGCGGGAGGGGCTGCCATTTGGGTTCTGGAAAATCAAGAACCTCTTATTAATGAACACAAAATAAAAGCTGCCTGTTGATGTGTGTGGTGTGTCTTTCCACGAGGGGTCCGAGGCCAGAGGGTAAATGACAAAGGGAGCTGGGCAGACCCCTACGCCATTTCAGAGATCCTCCCTCAAGTTCTCAGAGATGCTTCCAGGAGAAATCCTGTCTTGTTTTACCCAACACCTTTTTTTTTTAATGTTTATTTTTGAGAGGGAAAGAGAGAATCCCAAGCAGGCTCCATGCTGTTAGCATGCATCTCACAAACCATGAGATCATGACCTGAACTGAAATCAAGAGTCAAAGGCTTAACTGAGCCACCCAGGCGCCCCTACCCAACACCTTTCAGACTCGCCTACAAAACTCCTTTTCCTTCCTCAGTACACCTTATTTTCACCCTGTGGTTCCAGAGGATAGACCCCACTTGGGAAATGGTTCTGGACAGCTGCTCTTCAGGAGGTATTTCTGACTGTAGTACGTGGGGAAGTCTGAACCTGAGAGTCACTAGATGCTGACAGGGACATCTCACACCCAGGCTAGGGAGGAACCCTGCCCTCTGCAGTGACTCCTGGCTCGAGTGCTGGCTAAGATCAGAGTCCTCTTTGTAAATCTCAATCAACTGCAGGATTTCCCCACATCTGTACTTCAATCACTTTCCCAACACACATGGACTCCCAAACTCAGATGAATAGCTCGAATTAAAGTTCAACATACTGTCTTCCCCTCCAGACTTCAGTTACTCTTTTGACACCTTTTCCTTTGCACATTGTCCATATGGTTCTCACCCCCGTTAGCTGTGCATTCTTCCTCTGCACTCCTGCTACCCCCACTGCAGGTACAGCTAATGCTCAGAGCGGTAACGGAGTATGCTGGAGAACCCTTGTGAACATCTTAAGTGTATAAACTGCCACATCACCCTCCCTAAAACTCCTCTGCAACTGGGTCTTCCATTCAAGTCCTCTGTAGAACTTCATGCAGGACAAAGCCCAGGTTGCCAGGTCTGCCCTGGCCCACCACTCTGGGACCCCAGTGTGGCATGTGCTCTACTTCCATCCCCCGACCCCATTATTCAGCCAAGCTCCTGTGGCATAACATAGCTGGGTTCACCTTAGCCCCGCCTCTTTGTCCAAATTCTCCCCAGCCAGGACCCCAGTTCAAATCTTCCCTCATATTCACAAGGCCACTTCCTGATCAGCTTGGCCAGGAAGTGATTCCTCTGCTTGTTGGCACTTTGAAAATGGCCGGATTGATTTACCATAGGCTGGGCACCTACTACGCAGAACCCCCAACTCATCCCATTCTTTAGCAGTGAAAGCAAGTTGCTGTCCCCCTGATTTTTGCACCCAGCACCTACCATAAAACCTGTCCCGACAGATATCTGTTGATGGGGTGAGGGGCAGCCTTAGTCTTGAGGGAAGAGTATGCTGGGCACCCAAGTACGGTGAGCCCTCCCATGGGTTAGGTAAGTCCAGGCTATTTGTCTCTCTGTCCTATGTGTACAAGTAATGCAAAGGGGAGATTCAGTTGGCTCTTGCCAAATGGTCTCTGGTGGGAGACTGCCAAGGGGAGCAGCTGCTCCCACCCCCGCTGGGGCTTCCAAGGTTGCCCACTCAGGCTTTGCATGCATGACCCAGAATCACCCACATGGTACACTTTGCTTCCCTTCCCCCCAGGGGGTATTTAGAGAAAAGTCATCAACGCTGCGGGCCTTGATTGCCAGGTCTGTCAGCGGGGTAAGATCCACATGACCCCTCATTTCTCCTCTCGTACTGGGTTCCCTGTACAAAGAAGGCTGCAGCTGGTCTCAATGCAGGTGCCAGTCCTGTCTCTGGACCTGGGTGAAAATGAGGCCTTGTCTACCCAACACAGCCCAGCTCTCCCCTGTGGGAAGTTGCATTAACAGATCCTATAGCCCAGACGACCTGAGGTTACCTCCAGTGCCATCTCCTCGGGTAAAATCTCCACCCTGGATCATGAAGTCCTTGATCACACGATGGAATTTGCTGTCTTTGTAGCCAAATCCTTTCTAGAAAGGGAATGAAAAGGTGAGAGGTGGCATGAGGCACAGGCAGATATTAATTAGGCCCTGCAAGAGCCTAGCCCACAACTCATCATGGAAGAGATACCACTGCTGACCAGATTCATCATTCCATGTGCCACTGAGTGAACAGTTCCCACAGGCGAGGCATGGAACACACAGATCCAGGAGAGGGGCTAAGACTGCACATTCCTCTGCCTTTATATAATTCCCAGACTTTACACAATTCTACTTCACATAATGTTTCCACCTTTCCCCTCTTTTTTTTCCTAATCATAGAAACAGATGCATGAAAACTGATCAAATCACATCAAAAAGTTACCTAATTCAATGGAAAGTTATAATAGGAACTTTTTTTCCTTGATAATTTTTTAATTCCAGTATAAAAACATACAATGTTATATTAGTTTCAGGTATACAACATAGTGATTCAACAATTCTATACAGTATTCAGCACCCATTATGGTTAAGTGTACTCTTAATCCCCTTTGCCTATTTCACCCGTCCCCCAACCCCAGCCCCTCTGGTAACCACCAGTTTGTTCTCTAGAGTTAAGAGGAATACAAACTTTCTTAAATGGGGCACTACTGTTTCTTTAAAACCTGGGAAGCTCTGGGCCCTTTACCCTTAAAAGAAAGTTCTGGTTGCTTTTCCTTGACTACTGAAATGTCTTAAAAATAAACAATTTTCTTGGGCACCTGGGTGGCTCAGTCGGTTAGGTGTCCGACTTCAGCTCAGGTCATGATCTCGTGGTCCGTGAGTTCAAGCCCCGCAACGGGCTCTGGGCTGATGGCTCAGAGCCTGGAGCCTGCTTCCGATTCTGTGTCTCCCTCTCTCTCTGCCCCTCCCCCGTTCATACTCTGTCTCTCTCCGTCCCAAAAATAAACTTTAAAAAAAAATTTATAAACAAAAATAATTTTCTCAAAAAAAAAAATCTATTTCTGAATTCAGTTTATAAAACCCGCAAGATGTGATAATAGTGGTTCCCAGTACTATGGGTCGGCAGTACTCTGTGAGGGTACTCACAGGAGCAGTACTCCTGGTATAGTTGGGCCACGCTCTGCACTTCAGTTTCCTGCCAGCCCTACTTGCCAATTTCACTTCATTTGAGTTTGACTACCTCTGCTCTGGTCACTTACCTCTCCCGTGGCTAAGGCCACAAAATTGTCCACTGTTTTTGGAACAGTCTTTCCAAAGAGACCGATGACCACCCGGCCTATATCTTCATCTCCAATTCGCAGGTCGAAATACACCTGAGGAAGAACACCATTTCAAAGTCAGCCTTTTTAAAGGGGCCTTGTTAGGGAAGGGAGGGGCCAAGAAGCTACCATGAAGGTAGGAGAGAACAGAGCGGTATTTTGAAAACAGTGATTCCGAACCTGATTTTGGTAGTGACAAAAACTCTACCATGAGAATCTAATGAAGACTCCAGACCCTTCTACTAGAAAATGTTTGCGCTCTCCTTAAGATTATAGCGTGCCAAACCACCTTTAGTCTAAATAAATAATGAGCACAGATTCTAGAA